TGTACCTATCTACTATAATGAACAAAATACACATTATATAAGTTGATGAACGTTAACAGTAACAAAAATATAATAGTAATAACATTTAAATTACTCATTATAGAACATAACAAACAATACACACTGCTTTAAAATACTAATAATTAGAAATCGAACCATGAAAGCAATTACAATTATTATATATAAATATTATATTATAACAACGATTAATAAACAATTAAAGAAATATCCAATTCTTCAAAGAAATACCTTCTTGAATTGAAGGGGAGAAAATGGATAATATGTACAAAAAATTAATAACTAAATATAAACAATGGAACAGAAAGTATAACACTATAGACACTATGAAAAATAGAATAACAAAATGCATGGACTAAGCACTGACTAAGCAATAGAAGTTACAGACAGACATAACAGATCATAAAGGTAAATCATTCAGTACGAAGCAAAACTATGTCAATCAGAACTAAATAATGGAAGTCAACACAATGTGCAATTGAACTTCAACATTAAATAAATAATGATTCTACTATGAAACAAATGCTCATACTTGGCAAATAATATTAATATGATAATATAATTAACTTAACAGTGTTTAATACGAAAATAAATAATATACAGACAATTATCACATCATATAACAAAATAATTCATTAATCCAGACTATAGTTCATGGATAAAAGTGATGAATAACGAAAATAATACTTCAGAACGTACATAAAACAATAAATAATATATCCATAGGATAATACGAATATAATTGTGATATAATTTGCAACTACAACCGAACAATACACAGATAATAACTATATAAACAAGTATGGAGCACATACATATAATCAAATAAAACTATTAAATCAATTCTTGTACAAACAATTAATTTGCCCTCACTGTGCAATTAATACAAGTGTGAACAGTATTATAATACTATGAAATACATTGGATAGATACTAATAAGTATATCTATACAATGATTCAAATAAAATAAATAAAACTAATATATAAAACGTTTTACCTAGCAAACCAATTAACAAATAAAACATTAAACAAATACTACAATTGTGCATAGCACTAGATTAACTAAAGAATGCTAGGAGATGATTATAGTAAACATAATCCAATATATCACTTATATACAGATTGTGTTACAATACATCATTCTTTGCAAAAGAAAAAGCAAAGAACAATAGCCATAACATACACATATATATACACAATACTACAATTGTAACAATTCACAATAACATTGTTAATGATAAATAATACAAACACATGTTAGTAATGATTTACAACAGATAACTATGTTGGCTATTAAAGAAACAATGTGACAGATTGCATAGTTACTCAGGATGTATTAGAAACAATCAATTAATGAACATAACATTAATAAATTAATACACATAACTATAAACGATAATGTAAAGCAAACGAACAAACAGTACATTCATGATATAATACATACACAATGCACCTAGACACATAGCAAGATGCCTGCAGCCAGACATAACACCTATGCAACAAATATATGTTAGCATAAAACCTCATTGATCTCAGAATGAAGCAATCTGGCAAAAACAAATATTATTATTAATATTACAATATACAATCAATGCAAAGCTTCAATCCAAAGACATAAATCAGCTATTGCTGAATGCTTAACACATATACAAACATAGACAAACACAGACAGTGATGATTAAAGAAGGATATCATTGCAACATTGAATATACATTTTACTAGCATGATTCATTAGTTTCACAGCAAAGTAAAAAGGAAATTACTAGAGTACTCAAACAAACTTAATAACAAACAATATGACTGAATAACAAACAATAAAACGAAACAAGCAATTACATTTATGATTTAAATATGCACATATACGTACCTACACATGCTGACAAGATTCTGCAGGTCTCTGAAGCATTTATAAATTATTTAATAACATTTACAAACAATCTATTGCAATAACAATGCTGTTATTGAACAGTATATTACAAACAAACAAACTAATTAAATATACTTAATCAATATAACATTGGACAAACTTAACACAAAGTGGATGACACTCGGAACAGACAGTACACAGAACAGACAATGCATTACTATAATGCTAATAATATTATTATTAACTACATTAAGTTATAAATGCATTACACAAACAAACAATTGTACAATGCAGCCACAACAAGCTACTCTTGAGGGACTGTTAAGAAAGGGGAAAGAGGTTATGTGAGAGGCTTAGAGAGATCACACAAAGAGGGGGGATAGTGGACTCGGCTTGCTCTCTTGCAGCTTGCTTCATTGTCTGTTGATTAGTTAGTCTATATATACTATGTAGGTATGTCTCAGATGTAGAATGTATGATGGAAGGTATTCCATCATCGTTCGTCATTGCTTGTAATGTAGTTTATATCATCTGAGACATACTCTTGTGTAGTCTTGTCTTAACACTCCCCTTCAAACTCTTACTAGGTCTAGTAGACTTGTAAGATGTTTGCTTACAGTATGTATAGATAGTTTAATCATTATAAAGAGAATTAGTTACCACCCTTGTAGAAAAGTTATACACATTATAACTATCAGTCTCACCAGTTGCATAATATCAACATTCGTTCTTGTCATACCAGATACATACCTCACTAACAGTCTCTTTGAATGAGTCGACTTTTTTGCATCAGTATATACATATAAGCATTTGAGTACAAGGTTTCTTACTTGGGAAGAGTTGCTTTAAGTGGCTTTTTGAGAGAATTTCATCTCTTTTGAATGACTGTTCCAATTCAATAGCAATCTCAGTTTTCTTAGACATCTCTCAAGGAATATAGAGTATGATGGTTGATGACATTCTCCTATAATACACAGGTTTATATATTCTCCTTGTTGCACTACTAGCATTCTAAGAATCAAGTATTACATTATAATATCAGCTCATAAGTCAATGTCAGCATACAGAGATACTAAAGATATATATAATTAGTTCATTCTAGCATAGTTATAATAATCTGAAACATCAAAGTACCTAATATATTCCTATAAATGTTGTACAATGAACAGGAACTAGTACAGTTTCAACATAATCCATCAATTGACAATGTATCAAGTGACTAGAATAAAGGGGGGAAATATTAACATACCAAACAGTAAAGGAGTAGTATATACTATGAGAGAGTAGCTATAATAATACATAGATCCACGTCTTCTCACCCTCACCCTTCCTTTGCATCATCTACATCACATTCTTCCGCCCGATCCGATCTCGAAAGAACTACTATCAGCGACGTGGCGACCGTCCTCTTTTAGCTTCATCTAACAGATATTTAGGTATTGGCAGAGCTCATCAAAAAGGAAAACATAAGACAAACAACCTACCAAACTGTTTCGACAATGAAACGAGGGCATTGTACAAGTTTGTTTTAATGTTTCCCTGGACTCGTTTATCCGATGCTCCCTCAATAGTGGCTTTGTCAAGGCACAAACCAGTTAGTGCCTATTCACACTCGTATATTCTAGGACTATAAATCTTACCGGTTGCATAATACTGTTCTTTTCCCCCTTCATAGCATTTCCAAACACATATATCATTAATGAGTAAATAGAGTGCATGTTCTTTTTTTTATGGATTAGCATAAAGTAGTTAACAGTGAAACATAAAAACTACTACTTGGAAAGAGATATCGTATGCACTTGTCTTCAAGGCACTGCTGCTTGGAATACATTGTTATCAACTCAAGGTTATCAGAGACAGACATCTCTTTCTTGATGTAAAATGAGGTAAGAAGGCAGACTACCTGTTGAAGCCTCAGTATTCTAGCAAGATCTCCCACCTATCTTATGTACTGTCTTCTAAAATCAAGCAAAGCTGTACAAAGAAATCAGATGTAATCACTATATCAACTTGTAAGCCAACACCTTCAGTGCATTTCAAGATGGCTATAATGATATTCTGCAACATTGTAGTACTTGATATTGGCCATGTATTCCATGCCTGATTTTATGCAATGGACCAAAATATATAGGTACACAATTGCAAAAACACCCATCAATTGATGCTGTTTCAAGTACTAGTAGATGTATAGTGTAGCAAACAAGTAATCTCATATAATACTACATGAGGGTGGTTAGCAGTTTGCTTTTTTATACTCTTACAGTAATGAGAACAGTAGCTGTTGATTACAGTACCTGTTTTAGGTACATTGTGCAGAAAAATACAACACTCATTCATGGTACAGAGTATATGCTGGCATCATGTTTTAAGGTGATAAGTATTTGGCACATCATTAATATCGTTCTTATTTTTATTTTTGAAAATTGTTGTCTGCTCTTTATTAAAAAGCAAAGTCAGGAAGGTATGACAAGCGATGAGATCGGTATAAACAACAGACACAATAAGTATGGGTTGACTACAGACAACGCGCTTGACAATATTGGTGAGAAGATCGGCTTCGACTTAGAAATACTCCTAGAGAAAAAATGGAGAGAACTGGAGTAGCAGAGAGGATGATCAATAGCACAGAAGAAGAACATTGTACTGTTTGATGGAATTGAATCGCTAGCTCAGCTGACAGAATGGGGGAGCGATTGGACAGTACAACTTGGTAAATGCAACTGATAGAGGAGATTAGTACACTGTATAGTTGGCACGTACAGTTTGTCTTGTGGATTACAATACTTCGCCACTGTCCACCGTTCTTTCCAAACTAACTATACAGACATAAAGGACTTAGAACGCAGGGGTAAAGTAGTATCCAGTTACATTTCCAGTGTTGCCCATGCGATAGCAGCATGGACAGGGAAGCTCTCTTTAATCTGGGGCAGAAAAAGGCCAAAGGCTCTCCTACATTGTGAGCCATTTCTTTATTGGCAGTGTTGTATGTAACGAAAAGGTATCATGGCACTTGTGGCGCTAGTGTCTACTTTGCGCCAATCAACACAATATGACGTCCCAACGTTACAGCTATGTTGAAATAGCACAAAGAATAATACATACAACCGGGGCCTTCCTAGTATACCCATATCGTGAGCGAATTCTAGAGTCGTGCCTTTGCGTTTACTCCTCCGAACAACCTCTCCAGAAACGCATGGACTTCGAGTGCTAGCTCCTCGGGCGCCTGTTGTGCAATCTGCAACATGAAAGGATACGCAAAATATCAATGTAGCTGATGCGATCACAACATGAAACGCCGTGATTAAAGACTTACGAGGTGTGCAGAATCAACAATTTGCGAGTTGGTCGCATTGGCAGGTCGCCTCCAAACAAGGTCTCGCGTCGCTGCCTCGCTTCCCGTACTATGCAGGTGGCATGAACGTACCACAGGCGGCAAGACAATGAATACTAGCAGAGAAGATTCATAGATCTATAGATATAGACGTACATCCAAGATTCTTTACCCGCCATTACCCAGTGTAACGCAATGCGTGGATCGAGGTCTTTGAGTCTTTCGAAAATCTCGAATGAGACACGGGATTCTGCAAACACGTTGGCTTCCTACGTATGTCGAGGATTGTCAGATTGTCGATCCACCATAGATAGATTAGATAATTTGGTGAGTCCGAGAGGGAAAGAAATAAAGAAGTTGTACGCGTACTTGGACGCCAGACATCTTCAATCTCACCCCCTGAGATGACGAAGAGGATGGTGAGATAGGCGTAAGGCCACACTCAACGTAGGCATTTAAGACAGCTGGCTCCCAAACTGCAAAGAACGGCGAAGCTGCTAATAACTTTCGAGCTTCTTCCCTGATTAGACAGTCAATACCAGGATATTTGCGTTTACAATGTGATGTAACAGACCTGCTCGGCCACTCATGTCGTCGTGCGATAGCACCTAAGCAGAGTGCGTAGATGTTCGAACCGCGATCAGCGTATGGAGGGATGATCACAGGGTCGACCAGCGTTAGTGCAGTGAAGATGGATGGAATGGTTAGTGCTGCTAAAGCTCTTTTGGAATTAAAATACAGATAAATATAGATGTCGTTGAATCAAACAGGCCCGAAACGGAAGAAACCGCGACATACACTGCAGATCCGCCCATAGAATGGCCAACACAAACGAGCGTGCGTTCATCTTCGAATCCCCTCTCGAGACGGATTCTCTCGACTCGGTCGGAAACGCGCGGGAGGTGCACAGGAAGCTCCGAGTTGAAAGATTGGGACCGAGACGGCAGGTAGCGCGTGAGGAAATTCAGGATGTCGCGTGAGTAGTCCGACCAGTCGTCTTTCAGTTCCAAAATACCAAGGATTACGTCAGTACGAGTGAAGGAATGAGAGAGGAAGGCGTACAGAGTGCACCGAGCTTGTCCTCGTTGATTAATGCCGCATCGCCGTGTTGCACTGCTTCGAATGACCAGATCTCGTCCACGAGTACAGAGCTATTATCTGAATGCTCTATTATCGAGACTAGATGACGTATGAACGGTTCCCAAGTCTGTCATTGCTATCGACTTCAAGATTTACAACGCAAAATAAATTTGAATGGTCACCATACCTCCCTCGGAAACCCGTTAGCATGGGTCAAGAAGAGCGTAATCCTCTTCTTCCTTTCTTGTTCTCCCGCCAGTTCTAGTAGAGACCTGCGATAATATCGTGATACGCAGTTCCATAGTACCCGGTCTTCGCGTTCGTCCGGTGGGAACTCGCCTGCAGCCTGGCGTTGTTTGAAGCAAATGATCTCCTCCGTTATCTTCTTAGATAGGGATTTCCTTTCTTCCTTGTTTAAGCGGGAAGTTGATGAATGAAGGGAAGCGAAAGAAGCTGGGAGAGGCACAAATGGCGTGACACGTGGATAGGCTGCAGGGACGATGTGTGTTGAGAGAGCATATTCTGTAGAGATTGGACTGGGTCTGTTACATCTTTGCTGAGCTTCTGAGGGAAGGATTGGGGGGTAGAGTAGCAGGGGAGCGGGTGGCTCCCGCAATGGTAGGAGTTTGCGCGGGTTGACGGAGGTGAATTTGCCTGGTTCGGCTGGTCGAGGGTAGAAGTTCCTGGTCAACATCTAGTTGCTGAGTTGCAGTGGATTGTGGGGTATTTAGATCAGCGAACACGTTATATCATAATATATGGGGCAATGGCTCGGGCTCGGAGATGCTGAGAGATAAATCATGCGCAAATGGTTTGTTCTTCCTGCTAAATGAATTGGCGAATTTGGATGGGAAAAAAGGAGATCAGTCCCACGGATCAGACACATAAATTGTATACGTACAAGGAACGTTACACTGAAGAGATTGACACTGAAACGGAATCTAATCGACGGATGAACATGAGTGAGTGAGGAAGTTTAGCCGGATCTGGCATTGTGCTCATCACGTGTACTGACGAGCACCCCTTACCTCCTTTGCTCAATGCTCTGCTCTGCATCTGTTCTGCTGCACATGATTACTGCCATACTGGGTAACATACTGCAAAGATAAAGAGACATATTAACACCAGATAGACATTAGACAACAAGTGCTCTAGGATTATGATATGGAGCAAGTCAGGGACAAATGCTTCGGATATGTCGGCAAGCAATTGATCGGTGTGTCAGGAGTAATTTTGATGCCAGGCCAGACGCGAAGGCAGCCGGGTTTGTTGTGTTCCTCGTATGAGGCGTACCGCCGTATAAAACCCCGCGGGTGGTGGCCCGCGCTTTCCGCCAAGCAGTGAGCAAACCGGTCGTGCTGCTACGAGCATCCCCCTCCATACCATGCTCGGGTCCACACCTGCTCGTCTCGTACTCTTCTTATCGGTATTCGCGACTGCCGTAAGTGCTTGTGGCGACCATTTGCAAGCTCGCGGACACACGTATGGATATGCTAAACGCGATAACGCATCGCCGATAACTCCGCCTACGCGTCCACTTGTCTGGGGAGAGCTCAATGTCATCCATACGACGGACTCTCACGGCTGGCTTCTTGGACACCAGAAGGCTTCACCGCCCGAGCCAAATTATTCGGCGGATTTTGGTGACTTTGCATCGTTCGTCAGCCATATGAAGGAGATCGCAGAGGAGAAGGGTGTGGATTTACTTCTTGTCGACTCGGGTGATTTGCATGATGGGACGGGCCTTTCGGATGGTTTTCCACCCGGCGGTGTCGATGCGCATGACGTGAGTGTATTCATCCAGGTTTCCTGTTCACTGTGTAATAACTTTGAAGTGCTAACCCAATCTTATGTAGTCGAACCAGTTCATTAAACAACTTCCCTATGACCTTCTCGCAATCGGGAATCATGAGCTGTACATATACAACAATACACTGGATATGCACACAGACTTCGCACCGCACTGGAATGGCCGATACCTCTCCTCAAATGTCAATATCACTATCCCTTCCAGCTCCGACGCTTCACAAAATGTCAGCGTGCCTGTAGGCGAGAGATTTGCGAAGTTCACAACTGCACTGGGAAAGAAGGTTACAAGTCTTGGCGTTTTATTCGATTTTACAGGCAACGATGACGGAACGACGGTCCAGAAGGTTGAAGATATGGTTAAGGAACAATGGGTATGTCTACCTGGATTTTATTTACGCAACAATTTGCTGAGAGAAACGTCAGTTTGCGGAGGCGATCGCGGAAGAACCTGATCTGTTCCTTCTCGCTGGACATATGCCTGTTTCGAAGGATAATTGGCCGACGGTATTCAATGCCATTCGCGCAGTGCACCCGCAGACGCCGATTTTGATCTTTGGAGGTCATACACATATCCGCGACTGCAGTGAGTCTTTGCTCCCTCGCAATTTTATTCAATAAGAGCGCATATACTGAGGTAAATTCGATTTTTACCTTCAGCTCAGTTCGATGGACGCTCGATGGCGCTTGAGAGTGGGAGGTATATGGAGACTGTTGGTATGTGCTTTTTTTGCTTCTTTAAATGTTTTTTACTGATTGAGTGAGGGCAGGCTGGCTGAGTGAGCATATGGTTTTGGGCACATGAAAGTTGGTTCTTAATTCCCTTCAGGTGTGAATTTCAGTGAGATTTCGTCGACTGGGAACCTGTCTTTCTCTCGTCGATACCTTGATACAAACAGGCTCACATACGAAGTAAGTACACTTGTGTACAAGCTCGCCTATTCAAAGAGTTATTCTCATCATTTATACTTTTTAAATATGAGTAGTTCCATACTGGTCGGAGCAACAATAGCTTTGATACCCCTAATGGACTTGATATGTCCGAAGGTCTGAGGGAGCTCGCGGAGAGATTTGACTTAAACTTCACGTTTGGAACCGCACCGCAGGACTATACCATTTCTCGGTGAACGATTTCCATATTTATAAGAAAGGACTTTTCTTAATAATAACGGTTGGAATTTTAGGGATCCGTATCCGAGCAACGGGTCTTCACTGTCGCTTTTTATCGAACAGGTTCGTCATATGGAAGAATCCTATTAACCATCCAGACTGAAAATATCACCTTTGTTAAACACCAGGCCGTTCCAACAGCTCTCCAGTCAAACACGACGCAAACCGATACCCCTGCGCTGTTCTTAGCCAACAGCGGGTCTCAGCGATTTGACATCTTCAAGGGTGTGTTCACGAAGAACGACCAGTTGACGGCCTCGCCGTTTCCTGATGCATTCTGGTTCGTGAGTGGGGTGGAGTATGGAGTTGCGAAGCAAGTTGCTGGGAAGTTGAACGAAGAAGACGGCGCGGATAGAAAAAAGAAGCGGAGTACTAGGAAGAGAAGGGAGTGGATGAAGAAGTTGTACGAAAGGGGTGAGGTTGAGGCGAGGTATAGGGCGTGGCTCGAGGATATGGATCTACGGTACAGAGTTCTGTCGGACGAGTTGGAGAGGAGGGACGATAATGCTACCATTGAGACGATGGGATACGTTACTACCGATGTGAGCAAGTAACCCTTATCCTCAGATACTTATCATTTCCCCGTTTTCACTAACATAAATAATTAGTTATGTCCGGGCATAGGCGACGACACCATCCACACGCCAGCCCCATTCTTTTCTTCTCCGGTCTATATCTCGTCACAAGATTCCTCAACAGCCTTCCCTCCGGGCGTCTCAGACGACTCTACGTCAATTGACTTGGTATTCGTTGATTTTATAGCTACGGACGTTGTGGATATTTTAAACGAGATCACTTCCGAGCAAGGCGGAGGAAGGACGTTCAATGAGAGTGATGTGGGCGTATACGCGGGTTTGAAGGCTAATGAAGTGCTGGGCGTGTTTGCGAGTGTTGCTTGGAATTAACTGAACGGAGCCCGTATAGAGGAAGGTTCCTATTTCTTCTATGTTTGCAATGTGACGCTACTTTCTTGCATTGGGGTGTAATGCACTGAATGAAATTAGTTATTGCATGCGACACGACGAGAAGAAAGGAGAGAAAATCCAGGTCCTAGGAAATGAATTAGCGAATTAGGATGGGTAATGAAGGATATCTACTGTAGTTTCGGATCAGACCCGCACAACTATATCAGTACAAAGGAGAATTGTATTGCAGATATTGAAACTGAAGCAGAATGTAATTGGCCGTAAAAATATGGTGCATCAACATGTTGAGCCATGCCCAGATCTGGCATTGTAGCGGTCACATGCACTGCCGAACAACTCCTCGCCTTGTGCCCTACGTCTGTTCTGGGCTCTGTTGCACATGACCACTACCATTGTAGACTATGAGACAACTGAAAGCAGATACCACGATACAGTGTAAGTCAAGGACATATGTTTCGGGTATGTTTCGGCAAGTAACTGTTTGTGCCAGGTCTCCTTTTCATGCCAGCCCAGGCCCGAAGATGGCTCGCACCACTGTATAAATCTCTCGAGTGGTAGCCCACCCTTTCTTGTACCCTCTTCCTACCATGCTCGGGTCCGCACTTGCCACGCTCGTACTCTCCTTATCAGTATTCGCGACTGCTGTAAGAGCGTGCAGCGACCATCCACACGCTCGCGGGCACTCGCATGAATATGCCGAACGCGCTGACGCATCGCAGGTAACTCCGCCTACGCGTCCACTTGTCTGGGGAGAGCTCAATGTCATCCATACGACGGACTCCCATGGCTGGCTTCTTGGACACCAGAAGGCTTCACCGCCCGAGCCAAATTATTCGGCAGACTTCGGCGACTTCGCATCATTTGTTACCCATATGAAAGAGATCGCTAAACAGAAGGGCGTGGATTTGCTTCTCGTCGACTCGGGTGATTTGCATGATGGGACGGGCCTCTCGGATGGCTATCCACCTGGCGGCATAGATGCACATCATGTGAGTGTAACCTTCCAGTTTCCTGTTCCCATGCAATAACATTGAAATGCTAACGCAATTATGCGTAGTCGAACCAGCTCATTAAACAACTGCCCTATGACCTCCTCGCAATTGGAAACCACGAACTCTACAATTACAGCGTCACTCTTGACATGCACACTGACTTCGCACCACACTGGAAGGGCCGATACATCTCCTCAAACGTCAATATCACCATCCCTTCTAGCCCTGGCTCTTCAAAAAACATCAGCGTACCTGTTGGCGAGAGATTTGCGAAGTTCACAACTTCACTGGGGAAGAAAGTTACGAGCCTTGGTGTGCTATTTAACTTTATGCTTAATGACAACGGAACGACGGTCCAGAAGGTGGGAGACATGGTGAAGGAGAAATGGGTACGATCTTCCAGATGTCACTCTACGTTACATTCTGATAAGGGAAACGTGTCAGTTTGCGGATGCGATTGCGGATGAACCTGACCTCTTCCTTCTCGTCGGACATATGCCTGTCTATAGGGACAACTGGCCGACGGTATTCAACGCCATCCGCGCTGTACACCCGAATACACCAATTTTAATCTTTGGAGGTCATACGCATATCCGCGACTGCAGTAAGTATTGCATTTTATAATTCAACGATTGCGCATATACTAAGGCAAATGTGACCTATATCTTCAGCTCAGTTTGATGGACGCTCGATGGCACTTGAAAGCGGAAGATATATGGAGACCGTTGGTATGTGCTTACTATGTGTTACTTGGACGTATTTATTGAACGAATGTTGGTAGGCTGGATGAGTGAGTTATCCCTGAAAGAATAATAGATGGGTATTAATGCTCCTTAGGTGTGAACTTCAGCCAGATCCCATCGCCCGCAAACTTGACTTTCTCGCGTCGATACCTCGACGCCAACAAGCTCACCTACGAAGTAAGTACACCTACGTATAAGCTCTCCGTGTCACTGTATTTAACTTATCTAACCCCACCAACAGTTTCATACTGGTCGTAGCAGCAGTAGCTTTGATACCCAATATGGACTCGATGTATCCCAAGGTCTGAGAGACCTTGCAAAGAGATACGATCTGAACTTCACGTTCGGAATCGCACCACAGGATTATACGCTTGATCGGTGAACGAATGTTCTCTCTTCAGAAAAAAGGACTTAACATTGACGGGCTGCGATTGCAGCGATCGCTACCCGAGCAGCGGGTCATCGCTTTCGCTTTTCATAGAACAGGTTCGTTAATCACTACATCCTATCAATTACCATTCAGACTGAAAATATCGTCTTTCCTGAACGACTTTAGGCAGTCCCAATGGCTCTCAGAGCAAATACGACGCAAAAGAATACACCTGCGATTTTCCTAGCTAACAGTGGCTCTCAGCGCTTCGATATCTTTAAGGGTGTGTTCACGAAGAACGACCAGCTAACAGCGTCGCCGTTTCACGATCCGTTTGGGTTTGTAGGTGGAGTGCAGTATGGCATTGCGAAGCAGGTAGTGGAGATATTGAATAAGAAAAAAGGGATGGATGGGAAAAGGAAGCGAAGTACTGAGGAGAATAGGGAGTGGATAAAGGAATCGTTCGAGATGGGTGACGTGGAGGCGATATATAGGACGTGGCTTGAGGATATGGACTTACGGGATAGGGTTTTGTCCATGAGCGCGGACGAATTAGAGGGGAGGGACGATAATTCTACTCTCAAGACGTTGGGCTATGTTACGAATGACGTGAGTCACTTCCTCTTTAGATACTAGCACCCCCCTTAACTAAAAAGAATAATCGTAGAAATGCCCAGGGATTGGTGATGACACTGTCCACACGCCAGCCCCATACTTTCCTTCTCCTGCCTACATCTCGTCACAAGATTCCTCTTCAAACCCGCCTCCAGGCGTCTCAGGCGACTCTACGTTAATCAATTTGGTATTCATCGACATTATCAGGAAGCGCATTCTGCACGTCTTAAACGAAATCAGTTCCGCGCAAGGCGGAGGAAGGACGTTTAGTGACAGTGACGTGCATATATACGCGAGTTTGAGGCTCGACGAAGTGCTGGGCACGTATTCAAGTGCTGCTTGGAAGCATTGAACGAAGACACAAAAGTTCCCCGTTCTTCTTTCTTGGCTCATGTGCTCCAATGTTTTCTTACATTTGGGTGTAATGATCTCAATGAAACATTGAAACCGCTCGTAGCAGGCGACACAACGAAAGGACAGTAGAAAAAATCCACAGTCAGAAATACCATCCATTTACATACGAGACACCGATCACCATATATCACACTCTGTTACACAGTATTCTACAATCTACATGCAAGTCACAGCCGAACAAAAATGAGGAGAATAGAATCAAAACGAAGTGGAACAACAAAGTGAAGCTAATCACAGTAAAAGGAAGCGGAAGAGTAGCTGAATATTCATACAAGCAGAAGCAGAAACAATACGACACGCTCAGATGGAAAAGTGGCTCTTATTCCTTACATAGCGGAGTTGGAAGGGGAGGGAAAGAGATCAGCCACAGATCAAAGTCGCAGTATTGTATAACGTACAAGGAACTTTGTGTCTGTCGTGTTGAATTGAAACGGTATCTAACTGACCGTCCAGGGAATTCGATCATTGATGCACGAAAAAGGAAGTTCGATTTGAGCCGGATTCGGCATTGTAGTCATCACGTGTACTGATAATGATTTCTTTGTACACCGTCAAGTTCGGTATGGCTTTGCGTTTGACCTGACGCACAAAAAATTACTGCCAAGCTGAGGGTACCATGCTGTCCTGCACTGCTTGTCAGTACATACAATGGACACTCGAAAGCAGCAAACACACGGGATAAGTTAGGGACATATATTTCGGTATGTCTGCAAGCAAATGACTAGTGTGTCGATTCGAAAGCTAATTTTGGTGCCAGTCCATGCGCGCGGACACCGCAGAGATGGAAAATTTCCACCCGGCATTATGTTCCCCGCACTCTCAGTGTCTTATAACAACATGATTGACTGATTGCAAGCAGTGAGCGAAGTGGTTCTGCAGTTACGAGCATCCTCCTCCTGCCATGCTCGGGTCCGCTCATGTCCGCCTCGTACTCTCCTTATCGGTGTTCGCGACTACCGTAAGTGCGTGTAGCGAGCATCTACACGCTCACGGACACTCGCATGACTATGTCAAACGCGGTGCATCTCTGATAACCCCACCTACGCGCCCACTGGTCTGGGGAGAGCTTAATGTCATCCATACCACGGACTCTCATGGCTGGCTTCTTGGACACCAGAAGGCTTCCCCGCCTGAGCCAAATTATTCGGCAGACTTTGGTGACTTCGCATCATTTGTCGGCCATATGAAAGAGATTGCCAAAGAGAAGGGCGTAGATTTGCTTCTTGTCGACTCGGGTGATGTGCATGATGGGACAGGCCTTTCAAACGGTTTCCTTCCCGGCGGCATCGATGGTCATGATGTGAGTCTAATTGTACTGTTGTCCCGCTCTTTATAGAGAACCTTTGAAATACTAATGCGACCATGTATAGATGAACCAGTTCATTAAACAACTTCCCTATGACCTCCTCGCAATTGGAAACCATGAACTCTACGACTACAACATCACCTTCGACACGCATACTGACTTCGCACCGCACTGGAATGGCCGATACCTTTCCTCAAATGTCAACATCACCATCCCCTCTTGCTCTAACCCTTCGCAAAATGTCAGTGTGCCTGTGGGAGAGAGGTTTGCGAAATTCACAACCGAGCTGGGAAAGAGGGTAACTAGTCTTGGTGTGATATTCGACTTTACTGGCAATGATGATGGAACAACGGTCCAGAAGGTTGAGGATATGGTTAAGGAGCAATGGGTACGTCTACCGAGATTGTCTTGCCGCATCCTGCTAAGAGAAACATGTTAGTTCGCAGAGGCGATCACAGAAGAGCCTGATTTGTTCCTTCTCGCTGGACATATGCCAGTCTCGGAGGACAATTGGCCGACAGTATTCAATGCCATTCGTGCTGTGCACCCACAGACACCGATTTTGATCTTTGGAGGCCATACCCATATCCGCGATTGCAGTCAGTAATTCTTTTAATAATGAGAGCGCATATACTGAAGCGAGTATGATGTGTACCTTCAGCCCAGTTTGATGGGCGCTCAATGGCGCTTGAAAGCGGGAGGTATATGGAGACTGTCGGTGTGTGCTTCCAAGCATTCTTAAATAAATGTGGTTTACTGAATGCATAATACTAGGCTGGATGAGTGAGTATATCATGTCTTTGAACACCTGAAAATGTTGGATCGTAATCCTCTTTAGGTGTGAATTTCAGCCAGATCTCGTCTACGGGAAATCTCTCTTTCTCGCGTCGATACCTTGATGCCAACAAGCTCACCTACGAAGTAAGCACACCTACATATAAGCTTTACAAAGCAGAATATTTTCTTTCTATTTATCCATTTAATTCCTACCAATAGTTCCATACTAGCCGTGGCTACAATAGTTTTGATACTCGTAATGGGCGCAATATGTCTCAGGGTCTGAGGGAGCTTGCAGAGAGATTTGATCTGAACTTCACATTTGGTACCGCACCGCGGGATTATACACTTGATCGGTGGGCGAATATTTTCGCTAGACTTTCCTTAATATTGATGGGATAAAATTGCAGGGACCCCTACCCAAGCAACGGGTCCGAGCTTACGCTTTTCGTTGAGCAGGTTCGTTTAGTCACTGCACCTATCAGTAGCCGTTCAGAACTGAACATGTTGCCTTTTTAAATAATACCAGGTCATTCCAACGGCCCTCCAGTTAAACACAACACAAACCGATATACCTGTGCCCTTTATAGCTATCAGTGGGTCTCAGCGATTCGACATCTTCGAGGGCGCGTTTACGAGGAACGACCAATTTGCGACTTCGCCGGATATTAATGCGTTCGTGTTCGTGAGTGGGGTAGAGTATGGTGTTGCGAAGCAAGTCGTAGGGAGGTTGAATGAGGACGATGGGACCGCCGCAAAGAAAAAGAGGAGTACTAAGAAGAGGAGGGAGTGGATGGAGAAGTTGTATGAGAGGGGTGACATTGGAATGAGGTATAGGGCTTGGCTTGAGGATATGGATGTACAATATAGGGTTCTGTCGGGTGAATTGGGAAGGAGGGACGATAATGGCACTGCCGAAACGATGGGCTACGTTACAACTGATGTGCGTCTCTTACCCTTCAAATTCAGATGTCTAGCGTTTCCTTTACTAACACAAACAATGAAGTCATGTCCAGGAATAGGCGACGACACCATCCACACACCACTCCCGTTCTTTCCCACCCCAGACTACATCTCGTCACAAGATTCCTCGTCAGACCCACCTGCAGGCGTCTCGGATGACTCTACGCCAATCAACTTAGTATTCACTGACTTCGCGGAGCCGGACGTTCTGCAGGCCTTGAATGAGATCATTTCTGAGCAAGGCGGAGGAAGGACATTCAACGAGAGTGACGTAAGTCTATACTCAAATTTGAAGACTAATAATGTACTAGGTGTGTATGCGAGTGTTGCCTGGAATTGATTGAATGAAGACATACGGAAGGAGGTACCTCGTTCGTATATCTCGGCTCATTTAAAGTAGTAGTTTCCTACCATGGACTCAATGAATTAGTTATTACAAGCGATATCACGAAAAAGCGAGAAGTCTACAATCGGATATACCATCCATTTACTTGTGAAGTAGCAATTACCAAATGCAACACTGGTATTCTACAGTCTACACTATAAGACACAACCAATTTAGAACGACGAATGCGAAATGATAGTAGAGTGAGGTAAATTCCAGTACTGTAAAGTTCTGTGGAAGAAGAGCCGAATATTCATACAAAGGAAACCATACCGGCACTTGCGTAGATGAAAAGTAAAAATGTTAATCATTTTTAGCACGTTATAAGGGTAAAAATGACTTGAGTTCTGGGGGAGAGGAGGAGGGCAAAGAGATGAAATTATGTGCAACTAGCTCTCTATTCATGCAGATAATCTGGAAAATCTGGAAAAGGATAGGGGTATATTAGTTCCACATGTACAATAAACATTGTTCTTGGTGTATTGGATTGAAATGGATTCAAATTAACCCTCTAGCATTTGATGCACGCGTGAACAAGCAAGACCTGAGGAACCTCATCTCAGATCTGGAATGGAAATCATCACGTGCTTCCTTTAGCCTTTACACATATATTTTACTGCTATACTCGGAAATACTCCATGCTACACAGTGCACCCTAAGAAGTCAAACATCGCGTGCAACGGGAAGTCGAAAGCAAACACACTATGGGGTAACGCAGGGACATATGTTTTGGAATGTCGGCAAGCAATTGATCGCTGTGCAAAGATTATTTTTGATGCCAATCCAAGCGCGAAGACGGCAAGTTTCCAGCCGATATTTTATCCTGCCGTTGTATAAAACCCCATGAGTGGCAGACCACACTTATTGCCGAACGGTGAGCAGATTGGCCCCACAGCTACGAATATCCTCCTGCAATGCTCGGGTCCGTACCCGCTCGTCTTGCGCTCTCCTTAGCGGCGTTCGCAACCGCTGCAAATGCGTGCGGCGACCATTTACACGCTCGAGGACACTCGCATGAACATGTTAAACGCGGTATATCCCTGTTAACACCGCCAACGCGCCCATTGGTCTGGGGAGAACTCAATATCGTCCATACCACCGACTCTCATGGCTGGCTTCTCGGACATCAAAAGGCTTCTCCACCCGAGCCAAATTATTCTGCAGACTTCGGCGACTTCGCATCATTCGTCCGCCATATGAAGGAGATTGCCAAGGAGAAGGGTGTGGATTTGCTTCTTGTCGATTCAGGTGATTTGCATGATGGGACGGGCCTTTCGGATGGTTTCCCACCCGGGGTGTAAGGATTTGGTTTACTGGTTCGTATTTTATTACTACTACATTGCTGATTGTATTAGATCATTGTGTAGTAGGACCCACAAGCACATATATTCTCATTGTAGTTAGTTACACTTTCTCCTTATGTATCTACACGTGTATACCCTTATAAAAGACAGTATCAACTGCTAGGTAAAGGGGATTCTTTTCCCCTAACCCCTTACTCAAGTACTAGGTTATCCTAGTCAGTAATTGAGTGAACTAAGAGTAATTAGAATTCTCTTGTGAGGAACAGTGAGTTTCCTTACATATTTTTGACTGTACCCACCTAACACTGAAACCCCTTGCTAGACACTGAGGAACTAAAGGGTCTAATTAACTCTAGGTCTCCCTTATTGTCTAGTACCTATCAGGAATTTTTAGTAAGTAAAGTTACAATTTTTGAGTAGAAACAGAGACTACTTACTAGATTGGCCCCTAGTAGGTTCACAATGCTTTAGAATACTGTAGAACACTTCTGGAACACATTATTACATATTGATATAGACTAACACTAGATATGCTAAAGGTTTGTATTAATTAGATGAGTCAAGGACTAGGCATCTATAAAGGCAAAAAGGAACAAACAAGTGTATATTAAGTTTACAGACAATAGACAACAAGATTACCTATTGGATATTGATTACAATGTAGTTGCCAAGCCTTGACAGACAATTCCTAGAGGGTACCCAAGTCCAGATATTAATACTAATATACTAGAATGTAAGTCCTTGTTCCTTGTAGACTGGAGACAACCTAATAAACCTATACCAGGTAATAAGTCCTTGTCTACACAAGGCTAGAGGTACTCTAATAAACTAGTACATACTAATAATGTAGAATTAAAGTATGTAACTGTACTAACACATATAGTTAGTTAAATACATACTGTAGAGTAGAAACTAGTAAGTACTCACACTACTAGACTTGTAGGAATAGTAAATAGTAGTACAAAGAGTAGAAACACTCAGACAATTAGATTCAAGGATTCATCCAATCAAGTACAGAAGGTTGAGTTTAAGGATTCAACTGACTGAGTACAGACAATTAAGCTTGAGAATTTGCTTGATCAATTTCAGGCTACTGAGTTTGAGGATTTACTTAATAGAGAACAGACAATTTGGTTTAAGGATTCACTAAGTTAATATAGAGAGCTAACAGTAAGTATTAAGGAATTTGTAAGCTAGTACAAGAGTTACAGAGTACATATAGTTAGTATTAGTAAGAGTATAGATAAGTATCTAGTGAGCACACTTACTTTAGAACAGAAACACATTGACAACAGTAATGTAGAGAGTAATAAAACACTTAAGACTCTTTTAGACAGTAAAGAAAGTAGCCAGGACTCAGAACACAAGAGTAACAAAGGTTAGGAGAGCTAAGTATTAGAACTATAGAGATTTAATAAGGAACAAGACTTTCAGAAGGTAAGTAAGACTTTCAGACACATTGTAAGAGTTAGAACAATTAAGATAGACATAAAACATGTTAGCCCATTCTACAGTTTGATAAACATTAAAGATTTGAATAAGAGAATGTACAAATTTGATAGAATGTACTAGGAAGAGGAGAAAGTAACTCCTTCATCAAACAAGAGTGGACTTGATAGTATAGTAACAGAAAAGTGTGAAATGCTTCAGGCAGGCTATAGAATAAAAGCCAGACATACTATAGTACCTATAGACAATAGAGATCAGAACTATTAATCTAAGAGTGTAGAAGAAACACTCAAGAGTCTAGACAAACTATTACATTTGTAGAAAGCAAAAGGAAAGTGTAAAGTAAAAGGAAAATGTAAAGCACAAGGAACAGAATGAAAACTGGAACTGTCAGACATTCAATACAATTGTGAAATCAATTCAGACTATCCAAGCAAAACAGACATTGTATTTACAGAACAGTACTTTGAGGATAGTAAAAGTAAACACATATTAGAACTACAAGGATTAGTACTTGATTTAGAGAGTGAAAATCAAGTATACACTTACAAAATCAAGTGTTTAACCTTATACATAGTAGATATTGACTACACATTACACAGAAGCAATGTACAGGAGTACTATAATAGATACAACACTCTAGCCAGGTTTAGGAATAAGAGAGAAAGTGAAATACCTAAATATATATGGTCTTAAATAGAAATACCAAGTTTTTCAGGACATTAGAGTACCCCTTGCAAAAATAAAAGGAACAAACAATCCTATAGTAATACTTCACAATTGAAAGCAGTTCTAGGCAAGGTATACACTAGTAGTATTAGTAAGAACAATATTAATTCAGAGTACAGTAAACTACACAGTTTAAAGCTACATATTGAGTATAGTAAGTATAAGAATAGTTTAAGCAGTAGTTCAAGAATGAACAATGGACACAAGTATAGCAAAGTACTGAATAATGTTCATAAAGGCAGATTTGCATCAGTAAGACCTTCAGAGAGCCTAGTAAAGAATAGTTATACATACAGAGTAATACAAAGCTCTAAGATACAGAGAAAGGGAAATTTTGACTTAGGATCAGACTCAGACAGTAATAATTTGGATTCCTCTTCATCTAATGACTACAATCAAAGTAATGCTTTATTCAAACTGTCAGACATTGATTTGAGTAATACTGAAGCTACTAAAAAGTACAAGAAACACTTGAGGAAGAAACAGAACAAAGAACTCCTTAAATTGAAGATACAGATACACAGTACAGAACTAATAGCTCTTACAGTATACTCAGGTGAACCAGACTTGTAGAAGTATACAAAGTTTGTTATTAAAGTTAATCAGTATATAAAACAATCAGGACTTTATTATTTCCCTAAGAGCCAAGTAGGGATAATGCTAGGTTTTATTAAGGGAAAAGTAATGAATTTTTATTTACAAAAGATTGTAAACTATAAGTATAGATAGACACTTGCTCAGTTCTTTAGAGAACTTATAGACTTTTGTTTCCCTTCCAACTTTACTGAAATACTATAGAAAGAGTTCAATACTTTGAAACAAGGTAATAGGAACATTCAGAATTATTTGTATAACCTAGAAATGAAAGTAACAAATCTAGGAAACATTTCTTAGTAAGATTTGACTAGACAGGCATAGTATGGATTGAATTCCAAGTACTAAAGGTAATTATGATTAGATTGCTTAAATCCAGACACTATAGATTACTCAATCTTCAAGGATAGGCTTGAAAGTATTGAGAAAGCAAATGAATCTATAAGAATCAAATAGTACATAGATTCTAGACAACATTTTAATCTGTAAGAACATAATAATGATTCTTAGAGTGATTATTTGTATACAGACAGTTCTGATAATTTAGGAAACAATCAATTCACTCTACAGGATAGTGAAAGTAATGATTCAGACTATAGTGACTCTAGTCAGAATACTATACATACTAGTAGTATAAACACTAAAGGAAAGGCTAGGCAATTGTATTATCTATTGAGGAACAATGACTAGTATGAAAGTAAGACAGAAAACAATTACAGAACATATGTTATAGGTTTCAAACATTATTCCTAATCAAAATTAGACAAAATGAGAGTAAAAGGACTATGTTTTATTTGCAAACAAGATGACCACTTAGCTAGGAATTGTCCTACTTGTAATACAATCATATTGAACAATGTGTAGGATAATTGTTTATCATTTAGTAATGTTAGTATCAGTTACACTACTTTAGATAAGTTAGCAGACAACTTGGACAGTAAGAACTATATAGAATTAGAGTCAATTACAGACTATAACACAGATTCTTACATATCTAGTAGTAATATACATGTTTTATTAATTTGGATACTTTGTGAAAGTAATACTAAGGATTCAGTAATGGAACAAGAGAGTTCTACAACAGAACACAAGTTCAGGCATACAAACAATATATTTGAAAGGGCAAATTCAGTATATTTGAGACCTTATAAGACTATAGGACTAAGGAATAGTACAGTAAACAAGTAGAACTGTATGAAACAGTACTAGATAGCTATATTAAGACACAGACAACTGTATAAAGTATACAATAACATTTTACACTCAAAAGCATAAGTATACAGTGTAGAAAGGATTCTACAAGACTATAGATACATATGGTACATGGAAAGGACTAGGAAACATACATACAACTATTGTTTCAAGGAATCTAAGACACTATAAGTGTAAGGCAACACATATATAAACACTTTAGAGACACTACTACTGATTCTTAGAGCCACAAATTAAAACAACACTCTTAAGAAATATAGACTGTTTATAAACAATAGGAATGTATACTAGGACATTAGGAAAGGACCTAAGAATGTTAGACAATTAGAATATAACTAGCCAGATAGTATTATAGTTTATAAGGTAATGCAAATAGTAAACTGTACAAGCAGGACAATCTATCAAGCATTACTAGATTATAAACTATGACTACTCTTAGATACTAAGAAATATTTCAATCCAAACGATTTATACAGGTATTCTATTAAGTTAGAAGACTACACAATGTATTAAAAGGCAGACATTAGTACATTGAGTAAGACAAAGTGTATATACATTGAGGATAAGATAATACTACTCTAGAATAAGTATTAGGTATGGAGATACATTAACAGTAATAGAAAAACACAGACATATGTATACACAATTGATTCTATTCAGTAAAGGAAGGTATTCAAAAGTAAAGAACCACTTCAGACAATTTCAGGACTAGGAGAATGTTCAGACATTCAGGTATATTGATTCTACAACATTGGAACAGACATTTCTATCTTTAGGATTGAAGAAACAGTCTATAATGAGTACAATCAAAGTAATTTGTATAGAGTATTGTTCTATAAGGTACAATTAGATGTTACACTATGAAACTATTCAGTTCATAATGAAGAATTGTTCAGAAACATTGAGACCAGCTTAAAGTACAAGGATCTATAGTATACATTGTATCTATAGTAGAACATAAGGTATTACATTGTGAAATACACTTTCAGACAGTCAGGATTCATTAGAATAGACTCAGAATACTTTATTAGACATATTATAAACATTGTAGACACTCAAATGGATGTACTAGTGTGTATATACTTAGGATACATAGTAAGAATCAAGATATTCAAGCTATAGAATGACAATTACAATCTACAGGATGTAAAACTATTATAATCTATGTAACATAATAATAGTAAGACACTATTGAGATCAGAAACAGATACACATTGTATGAAACAAAGTACAGAAGTTTAGAGGGCAACTTCAAGCTAGAGAACAGGTTCAGAACCTGGACAATCTGCTCAATCTGCTTAATCTACTTAAACAGATTATTACACTACTTTAAGGGAAAGTAAAGGTAATATACATACAGTTAGCAAACATTAGAGTGATAGTTGATTAGCAATGATTAAACAGACTATTCAAGCATTCAGGAATAATACTTTAATGCTATAGAAGGAAACAGAGTATTAGGACACTCTAGAACATTTATTAAACAATGATACAGTTTAATCTACTCTAGGAATAAGTAGTTACAATCAGTTTAAAGTACAAAATCATGTAGAAGACCTCTCCAAACACTACAAATATGTTTTAGAACAGTACTAAACATTTTACACTGAAAATGAAGTCATATTTCAATGAGAGGGTGAGAGGCACACACATTACATTACATACATACTCTTTAAGTATACAATCATGTTTGAACATACAATTTTCTTACTTGGATTGTTACAAAATGATTTTGTAAAGGGCTTCACAGGACTAGACAGTATTAGTACTATAGGAAACAGAACACACAATAAGTACATAAGGAAAGAATACATTGGTACAAGGACAAGAACACAGAAAGACAGGAAGTTAGTGTTAGAGTACATTAATCCACACATGGATTTGCTAAATGAACAAGGAATTGGTAGTATATACTCAGGACTTTAGACAGTGTTACTACACATATAGACAGAACATTTTATTAAGACATACATGGAACAACACAGTATACAGACAGTTACAGTACTCAGAAAAGTAGAGAATACTACTTAGACACATTGTGATAGAACATTACACTATAAGACATTGAAAGTATACTTAAATGATTCAGGAATCAAATCAATCAACTTACAAAGACACAAACAAGTTGAGACACAAGGAAACAGTATGAGAATATAGTAGGACATTCATTACACACAGAGATACTATACATATACACACATATCTAGTAATATTAGACTCATACATTACAATCTTATTAAAATTGAAACAATATTTTCATTCAAGGACAGATATTACACTCTAGGTTACACTCTACAATTAGTATTTGAACATTAAGCTTAACAGGACATTCAGTTTTGTGTCACAGTTAGTTATTGCACACAAAAGAGTACACATTTAGAGATATTCTACTCATACAAGTGTAAGACATTACATTTACAGGAACTAGTCTATTGGAAAAATCAAGGACATAGTAGAGGAATTTTAGAATACATCTCTGTTACCTATTATTGTATAACTATTCTACAGGAGCAGAGAAACACACAAGGTCAGCTAGAAGCTATAATACTAATACATTCTATTGAGGAAGAAGGTTATAGCTTTGTTAATTAGGGATTTACCTCTGTGCTTCCTAAAGACACAGGAGAAGAGAATATTTGTAATTACTATGCTGCTGGAATTTCCACTTCTGTACATATTGATTTATACTGTGTATCTCAGAGTACTTAAGAGCTGAAACACTATATCTCCCTAGGAACTCTACTGATTCTCTTTGAAAAGTGTTATATTGATAATAACAATCAAGAGGAAACTTTCCTACTAATTAACTATACAGTAATAATGACCATGTTTAATTTTATTAATGTTTTATCTAGCTTTACATAGTTTGGAACTATACTACCTACTGTTCAGAACACTACTACTGTCTCAATACACACTGGATTGACTTTGGATCAGTTTAGAGAGGTAGTAATACATTACAAGGATGTTTCCCATACATATAGGCAAGGTATTTTATTATTTACTTGTTACTAATTGTTACTTTAAGTAAGTTTTCTGCCTTTTTTACTAATTTTTAGCATTTAGGACTAAATGCTAGAGGGTGAGTGTAAGGATTTGGTTTACTGGTTTGTATTTTATTACTACTACATTGCTGATCACATCAGATCATTACACAGTAGGACCTACAAGCACATATATTCTCATTGTAGTTAGTTACACTTTCTCCTCATGTATCTACACATGTATACCCCTATAAAAGACAGTATTGACCACTGAGTAAAGGGGATTCTTTTCCCCTGACCCCTTGCTCGAGTACTAGGTTATCCCAGTCAGTAGTTGAGTGAACTAAGGGCGATTAGAATTCTCTTGTGAGGAACAGTGAGTTTCCTTACACGAGGGCATCGATGTGCATGATGTGAGTGTAATCTTTTAAATTCCTACACACTATCATGTAACTTTGAAATGCTAACACAACCACATACAGTCAAACCAATTCATCAAAAAGCTTCCCTATGACCTCCTCGCAATTGGGAATCATGAACTCTATGTTTACAACAGTACTCTCGACACGCATACCGACTTCGCTCCGCACTGGAATGGCCGATACCTCTCCTCAAATGTCAATATCACCATCCCTTCCAGCTCCGACGCTTCACAAAATGTCAGCGTGCCTGTAGGCGAGAGATTTGCGAAGTTCACAACTGCACTAGGAAAGAAGGTTACAAGTCTTGGCGTTTTATTCGATTTTACAGGCAACGATGACGGGACGACGGTCCAGAAGGTTGAGGATATGGTTAAGGAACAATGGGTACGTCTGCCTAGATTTTATCTTGTTTCAGTTTGCTAAGAGAAACACGTCAGTTCTCGGAAGTGATCGCAGAAGAACCTGACCTCTTCCTTCTTGCTGGACACATGCCAGTCTCGAAGGACAAGTGGCCGACGGTATTCAATGCCATTCGGGCTGTTCACCCTCAGACGCCGATTTTAATTTTTGGAGGTCATGCACATATCCGTGACTGCAGTGAGTAATTTTTTTCCGTCGTATTTTCTTCAATGAGAGCTCATATACTGAGGTAAATTCGATGTTTACCTTCAGCTCAGTTTGATGGACGCTCGATGGCGCTTGCAAGTGGGAGGTATATGGAGACTGTCGGTATGTGCATTTTTGTTTCCTTATATTCGGCTTATTGAAAGTGTGATGTTAGGCTGGATGAGTGAGTCTATACCTGTTAATCCATGAAAGTCGGGTCCTATTTTCCCGCAGGCTTGAATTTCAGTCAGGTCCCGTCGACCGGGAATCTGTCTTTCTCGCGTCGATACCTTGATACCAACAGGCTCATCTACGAAGTAAGTACACTTATACAAGCTCACTTAGGCAATGCATTTCTTCTCATTATTGTGTATTTATTTTAACATATCGATAGTTCCACACCGGTCGAAGCAACAATAGTTTTGATACACCTAATGGACTCGATGTGTCCCAAGGTCTGAGGGAGCTCGCGGAGAGATTTGATTTGAACTTCACCTATGGAATTGCTCCTCAGGATTATACCCTTACTCGGTGAGCCAGTCTTTCCTCGTTCCAATGGAAGGACTTTTGTTAATGTTGATGTGCTGGGGTTGTAGGGATCCCTATCCGAGTAATGGGTCTTCACTGTCGCTTTTCATTGAACAGGTTTGTTGTATCACTAAATCTTATCAGCAGTAATCCAGAACTGAAAATATTATCCCTTTTAAATGAATTATTAGGCGGTCCCAATAGCTCTAAAGTCAAATACAACACAAGCCAACACACCTGCACTCTTCGTAGCCAACAGCGGGTCTCAGCGCTTCGACATCCTCAAAGGCGCATTCACGAAGAACGACCAGCTGACAGCTTCGCCGTTTACTAACTCTTTCTTGTTCGTGAGTGGGGTGGAGTATGGCGTTGCGAAGCAGGTAGTGGGGAAGTTGAATGAGGAGTATGGGGCAGATGGAAAGAGGAAGAGGAGTACTAGGAGTACTAGGAGGAGGGGAGAGTGGATGAAGACGTTGTATGAGAAGGGTGACGTTGAGATGAGGTATAATGCTTGGCTTGAGGATATGGATTTACGATATCGGGTTCTGTCGGGTGAATTGGGGAGGAGGGACGATAATGAGACTGTGGGGACGATGGGCTACGTTACTACAGACGTGAGTCGTTTCCCGGCCAGATACTGAACATCTCCAAATCCTAACACGAACGATGCAGTCATGTCCAGGAATAGGCGACGACACAATCCACACGCCACCCCCACACTATTCCTCCCCAGTGTATATCTCATCACAAGACTCTTCATCAAACAATCCACTTCCAGGCGTCTCAGACGACTCCACGCTTGTCAACTTCGTTTTCGCTGACTTCATCGAGACGGACGTGCTCGAGGTCTTAAACGAGATCACTTCGGAGCAAGGTGGAGGAGGAGGAAAGACGTTCAGCGAGAGCGATGTTGCTACTTACGCGAGTTATAGGACGAACGAAGTATGGGGTGTATTTGCGAGTGCTGCTTGGAATTAATTTATTGAACGAGGAAATATAGAAAATTCCTAGATCTTACAGTACTTATTCTCTTGTTCATTCATCTGTAATATTTCCCTACCCCCTGAGTGCAAAATCTTAATGAACCCAGTTACTTCTAACGACGCGACGAAAAGAAAAGAAGTCCAGAACCAGAAATACCATCCATTTACATATGAGATACCAATCAACAAAGTGCCACACCAATATTCTACGACCTACACTACAAAACACAACCAAACAAAAACGAGAAACAAGAACAAACACATATCAAAACAGGATGAACTGAGGAATGAAGTAAATTAAAGTGCGCGTAGAAGAACTGAATATTCGTATAAGTACATAGAAGTTAAACGATGTCAATCTGTTTTAAAATGAAAACCCAGTGAAGGACAGTTTGAATCGTTTCGTTGAGTGGAAAACGAGAAAGAAAACCCGAGAACAATGTGCAGGAGAGTTATGCGGGAGAAAGAGATATGCTATGCAGAAGGGAGGAAAGTGACAGTTAAACGGAACTGAATAACAAGAAAGACAGTATATGGACAGGATCGGACTACGCAGCAAAACAGGTGTCACAGCTTTAATGTGCAAAAACATATGAACAGCGAAGGGATGAGGTGGTAACAGCAAATGAAGGAAGTCGTACTTCTAGACGACAAGAAAAGAGAAAGAAAGATGCCATATACAACGGTCCGAGAAGGCATTGTGTAGTTCGTGAATGACCATATACCAGCCGTATAAGTTGTGTACGGCGACATTCAACATCTGCAAAACAATAAGCAGATCCGACGAGGAGCACGAATACTACATGAACAACGGCATGAGTATACGCGTCTCCGCAGCTAGAGCTTCAGCGCTCCGGCTCCGCATCGACGAGCTATTCTCCGTGTCTCTTGCACCAATGAAGGCATCTGGATCATCACCATCGTCGTCATCGTCGTGATGTTCGTCCTCGCTCCTCCTATTATTTCCAATTTCCCTAGCCTCATTAATTTCCCTAGCGGCACGAGCAGCGCTAGCCCCAACCTCATCTATTGGACTCTCGAATGCAGGTGGTGGCGACTCCAACGGAAGTTCTAATCGCGAACTTTGAGCATGTGCAACGGCCTCATCACCATACGGCAACCCGAACCTCCCAAATCCATCTCTCGCACTTAGGAACTTCACCTGTTCGGGTGTCGGTCCCGAAGGTGGGTACCGTATTTCGGTACGGACGAGAGTATGTGAGAGTGGAGGGCTAATGGGGTTCGCACCCTGCGCGAGGGATAGTGAGAGTGAGAGAGCGGAGGGGGAAGTAAGGTTAACATTGGAACGCGAGGCAGCAGGGTTGTGTGAGCTGAGAGTAGCGTTGGAGCGTTGACGAGTGAGTGCAGTTGAGGAGCGGGAGCGTTGACGCGAGAGAGTTCGGAAAGGGATGGGAAGAGTAGATGTGGAACTGGAGGAATGACGATGGCGGGATTGTTGTTGTTGGGTGACAGGAGGATAGGAAGACGACGTCGGTGATTGGGGCGCAGGTGCTTCATTCAGTGATATCTCGTTGGGCGCTGCAGGCCTAACGCTAACGGAGACAACTGAAACGCGTGCGGATTCGTCAGCACCAGCGTCGGCTGCAAGGCTGGCTGAGCTTTCGTTAATGCTCCCGTTTCGAAGATGTAAAAGATTCGACACGCGTGAGGCGAGCCGAGATCGCCGACCGCCTGCTATACGCGCCGGTTCGGGCGTTGAAGGATGCGTTGGAAGCGGAGAGGAGGATGGAGGAACGCTGGTAGGAGGGGAAGATGTCCGCTCCGGCTCTGCTGATGCGTTGGAGTTGGAGCTGTCAGTGACACTAGTGTTCGTAAGTCCTGGTGGATGCTCGATACCCGCTGAGGAAGTTGAATCGCGTTGATGATTTCCGAAGTCGTAATCTGGCGGCGCATCGGAGGGTACATCAGACATGGGGCGCGTCAGAACCGAGCGACTATCAGAAGTATCGCCCGAGTCGTTCCGTTGATGATGATGACCACGAGGCAAGAGTTCCGTCGTCGAAGTGTCAGGGTCTAGACTGTTTCCATCATCTTCACCGCCCACACCGAGACTCATGGCCGATTCATCAGGCCTAAGTTCAGCAGTAGGTGGATCATGATTGGGATCCAGTACAAGCATGCCAGCTTGCGAATCTCGGATCCCTATCGAGTCTGAGTCGTGCCCGTGTTCATCATCCTGATCTTCTGCCTCCCGTGCTTCGGCGATGGCGTCCGACGCATCCAAAGCCTCTGGTCCGCGGAAAATCACAAGCTCTTGATCGCCCGGCTCTTTCATGTAGACTGGTAGAGATGTCGTGCTGATCTGGCTTGGAGTCCTCCGATTTCGCCGGCCCGTTCTAGGATTACGCGTGCCCACCGTTCGTCGGCTAGTTGTGGTCCCACCAGCAAGCTGCGAGGCAGTCACTTCCCTAGTAGCAGAAGTGCCATTTTGTCCGGCGCGGGCTGCCACACCTCGGAGACGGCTCACGACACTGGTACGCGTCCAGACAAAGCAGAATACGCCGAGGAGAACGAGTACAACGGCTACTGCAGGGGCCTAATGAGAGTGTGTCAGAAATAGAATCTCGGGTTTTACAATTATGATTACGCGACTCTGGTCGCGTTTGAGTGATCTCAGTCGGCATAGCCGGGATAGATGAGCTACCCGCTCATGGAGTGGCACCCATGAAGTTCAAGGGATACACAAAAGTGTAGAGAACCTTCAAGCGCGGATGTCAAGACCGCAGTTGCGGCTCTTTCCAAGCAAAGGTCTCTGGATTATCATGAGTAATCTGAGACTACCTCTATGCTGCGTTACTGCAGTGCGCAATCAAGCCCCGACTCCAGCTCTGGCAGATCAGGCATCACATAAAGTAAGAGCAGCTACTCACCCAAACCTTTGGTGAGATGTTGTTACCAAGATTCGGAGGAGAATTGTCACGGTCCATTGTGTCATTATTGGACTGGGACTGCTGATGATCGACCTGGCGCGGCTCGAGCGGAAGCGCGACAGAGACGGCGGCTAATGCCAATTGAGTCGGTACAGCTAGCCACCATCGTCGCTGTCGCTGTGGTATCGTGCACCGGGGCATTGGAGGAGAGAGCAGGAGAGAGAGAGATAAGAGAAAGGAGGGCCCCTTTCGCAGGAAGCGAATTTGAGCGGTGCCAAAATATTCACGAGACACGAGATATGATATGGACGCGCTTCGCGCAACGCCGGGCGTATAGTATGTCTGTTTTTGCCGTTGTCGCAGTCGCAGTCGCAGTCGTGCGTGTCGTTTTTGCGCCTCACAATGGACAAAGATGGGCGTCTGTCGAGACGAATAAGAAAGGAAGGGAAAAAAGAAATGCAGAGGATGATGAAATGATTGGATTCGGAAGGCGGTGCTTACAGCGGGAGTGCTTACCCCAGTCGGGTCACCCGTCCGCGTTTCCGGCTAACACGAGCTTCCTGTCTTGTAAGACGGCCTGCCACGGGGCGTCGCAGATTATAAACAGTCAGCAAATGCGCAGCAAGCGTGGTGGGTGGATGCGAAAAAGGACGAGATGTGGATGAGAGCTAGCGTGGGGGCTTGACGTGTAGACGAAATGCTAGCGCTGCGCTACCGATTATCGCTCAAATTCATTTCCCTTTCATCCTCACTCATTTCTCGCCTTCTCGTCAACCTCCGATCGGCTTCCATTGTACGAATCTCTTGTCTGCCAATCTTCGATCTCACACACGTTTTCTTTGTAATACTTTGACCCCGTCAAACAGCAGCATTTCGTCGTGCGCGCTCCAAACATCAGCGCTCGATAGTATGGGTAAAAGCTCCATTCATGACGATGACGACCACTCCCGCCACCACCAATATGTATTACTGTATGTTGTTATGTGCATTTGGCAAGAATATTCACACCCGGAGATGTGTGTACGTGTCCATGGTTTGGTAACCCTCGTCATCTATCTATTCTTGCCACGATCACTTCGACGGCGCCGTTATGCTACTCTCCTGACATTTGGAAATTGGAATTCTCCTTAGACCCGTTCCATCCGCTCTCACGATCTCCATGAGCATAATATCTGCTTGCCAACCAGGTGGTGAGGATACTGGCATATGAGATTCTTGATTATAGTGACCCTGTTACACTGGATGTATACAGCATGGCCGTTGTATACAAACAGTCATGTTTGCTATACAAGGTCCGGTTAATACGGAGATCGTGATTGCATGCACATTGGCATTATGAATATAAGATATTAACGTTAATATTACAAGTGTTACAGGTGAACAGAAAAATGGCCAATACACAACGCATATGCAACCGAACGCCACTAAAATAACATTAAAACCGGATACAAGGAAATCCATATTCAGAGTATTACTCCTTCAACGTCTCCGCCTCCGCCTCCTCACTCTCACTAATAAGACCAATTAGTCAAATGCACATAGCAAATACACACGCCCAGCTTATAAAAAGAAAGTCAACACACCTGTGTCAGAACCCACAGGCAACCCCTTCCTACGCATCTCCTCTGTTAGCCCATCCAAACTCTGATGTACATTCTGTACCTCTTCCTGACGCATACGCGAGCTCGTCGCAAGGTTCTCACTGAATGCGTGTAAGGAACGAACGAAGTCTTGTTGGTATTCAATTATGGCTGATTGGAGGAGTCGGGAGTCCTGTAATTTTGTGTGAGTTGCATGGGTTAACCAACGTAATCTCGAGGAAGGTGGGAATGAAGATTCGAAATCTGCTTGACCAGAGGATATCGATGCTTCGATTGGATGGAAGAATACCTACGCGAAGTTGTTCCAGGATTTCATTAACTTGAGCATTAGTGTTTGGCGGAAGTTGTGCCATCTCAACAAATATTAGATGTATTACTAGTAGCAAGCACGACGTGGTCAAGGTACATTAGAAAGAATGAAGGCTCCACTATTCCCTTGCATGACTGTATATCCGGTGAATTGACGAGTTTCACGTGTTGAATGTAAACTAATATACGTTTATAGAGCACGGGACGGAAGTAAAAAAATGTTTCCTCTTGGTATTGAGTAAGACGGATATAACGGTGTTAAGTGCTGTCACCTTTCATTAGCACCATTAAAAGTAAAAACGGAGGCTTATTATTTCTCCTAAGTCCGGTCAACTACAATATGCGCGTGTTACTCAGGAACAAAATCACCACGCATAGTCTCTGCCAAACTCCTTGGTTCGACAACCCAAATTGCTGCAACTTCTGTTTCCATCTTCCCTAAATCCTCCTCTCCTCCGTCTCTTCGCTCACATTGCAAAGCCGAAGTAGAGGCAGCTCTGATCTCCTTCGTACTCTCCCTCACCATCTCTTTCACACTCGCCCGGTTAGCAGTCAACGTCGTCCATTGACGCACCACTCCACGATGCAAGGTGCTCACAGTATGTGTGGTGAGGCGTGCGTTGGTGCGCGTTACAGCTGCACGTTCGATCTCGTTTGAATCTGTGGTAGCATCTGCCTGACGTATCTCTTCTCTGCCGTTGGGTATCGCATCGGGAGCTCTGGATGAAGCTGGAGTAACGGAAGAGAGACAGACTGCGCGCGGATGGAGGGTTGACCCAGAGGAGAGAAGGCGGTTGCATGCGCATTCGAGATTGATCCAGAAAGGATCCAGCGGTGTTTCACCGATTCGAATCTGATTGGGCTGAATGTCCTCATCCACATCTTCAAAAATATGCAGAGGCACTAGGCTTGGAAGCGTATCCCGTGAATGACGCGAGTTGTGCCAGTATGCATTCGCAGCCTCTTCTGCAGAGACATAGGGAATACCGAGGGTCAATTCCTTGTTAGCATGAGGATTGAAGAATAGAGCGCTGGCACGTCGCTTCTCAGCCGGACCACCTATTTTCTCTACAATGTGTAGACAGCGATCCCGCACCTCTTTCGATGTCCAGAACTCTATGCAACTTTTCGTGCAGTTGTGCTCCGCAGGTTCAAGTCTTCCTGCGATCTCGTCAAGAAGGCCCAAGTTTAATTCGCGTAGCACTTGGTTCGCCAGTGCACGCGAGTGAATACTTTCACCTTCCCCATCACTATCAGAGTTGTCAGCACTTCTCTGTCCGTCTGTTCCTTTGCCAGGCCTTTGCTTATTTTTGGCATTCACAGAGGCATTATACGTGTCTTTCTGGGCTGTGGCACGTGCGAGAATCTCCTTCTGTTGCTGTCTGCGTCTGCGTGAACGTGCACGTTCGGCTGGAGTGGGGATATACCTCATGTACGCTTCTTCCGTCGAGGTCGATAGTGGTGCATGTGTTATGTCAGATATGAGTGCGATGAGCACTGAAAGGTCAAGATTAATCTGTCGGGAAGGAACAAGCCGTGATTCGATCTTCACAGAAGTCGTTGATAACTCGGGAGGGATGAGGAATTCGTGCTCGCCGAGAGCAACATCCAGTCCCATTTCGAGGAGTTCTTGGATAGTCTTTGCTATACGAGGGTCCGTTACCGATGAGTCTGATGTAATTGAGAGGTGTCGAGGACCAATGATCCTTAAGCCGAAGTTCTCTAGTGTTTCTAGTGAGTCTACATCTATGAGAAGTCGAGTGAGCCGGAGAGTGATCTTCGTCGGCGCAATTTCATTTGAGTCAGGGGACAAAAGCATTCGGGAAGCTGAGAGAAGCGCACGTCCCATCTGCAAGAGCGAGTTGTCTAGTTTGTGAGGCTCTGGTTTGGTGGCGCAGGAGTTTGAGCAGATACAGTCGCTGTCTTCGCTTTCCGATCCGGTGAGATAGGAGTCGAATTCTCGGAATTCTGCGAGCAATCGAGAGTTCTTGATCCTGAGTAAATGCGCCAAAATAGAAGCGAGTCACCCTCAGTTATTCGTGATAAGATAAACAACTACGTACGTATTAACCCGGATCCAATACAGTCCGGAATTCGCAACGATATCCACCTTAGCGCCTGTCGTTCCTTTCTTGGAGAGCGGTCTTGTCACTGGTTTCGGCAATTCCTTCTCCAATGGCACAGCAAACATTTTATCAACAGCTGCGACTGTTGGAGACGCTCGGACGAGCTCGTTCCACACTGCTATCAGGTACGGTGCATTTGTTGAAAATGTCGATACGTTTGCGTCCCGACTACTGCGAGATTTATGGCGAGCGAGGAACTACTGGATTGGTTGGCCGTGTTTTATCAATATTGAGCTCGCGGAGACATTATTCTAGATCGGAAAAAACTCACCCTATCGATCTGTTCGATGTCGTTGCGTACATTGTCGCGAAGGACACGAAGGCCGGGAGTGCCACTGTCACTTAATAGATGCGAAGAAGTATAGCGGATTGCAGCTCGATCTTTCACTGATCCATTGCGGCTTGAACCATCGCTACTACCGGGAGACGTCTTGCCCGATGCCGCAGATGTGGCGTTATTTCCGTGTTCGCCATCGTCTGGAGCAGTTCTCTCAGTAGACTCAAGGGAGTCAAGGATGTCGATAATAGGCAGTCTCTTCGTGTTGTGCCGGAATCCTGGCAGATGTTCGTGGATAAGCTCAAGTTGACTGCGCAGGAGCTGGAGACTCTCAAGTGAGCTCGCCATTTATCATGAGTCCCCAGTTGAGAAAGGTTGATAATGGTGGTAACAATCAGAAAGGTAGATAATTGTGGTAATAATCCAAGTTTAATAAATATGAAATTCACAATCCACGACGCGCGTTCACAAATGGTGTGCCCCTTCTGAAACTCCGGTGGCGATCTAAAATTAACACATTAACATAAACATACACAAAATTGAGGCTCTACTAGATAGTACACTATAAAGACTGCAGGATAGCTTGACATAATCGAGCGCGCTCCTCTTCAATAGAGGGATTAGGCAGCTCCATGACTGTAACGACCCGAGCAACGCCCCATGCTCCGTTCCCGACTTTCGTGCCACCGAGAACATTCCGGCTGTCCGGAACGACTTCCCAACGAGCGCGTGTTGGCTGAGTACTGGTCTCATCTGGCAAAATATTAGTTAGAGAGAAATGTAGCTAATACTATGTAAGGCTTACAGTGAATGACTGCCGTGTGCGGTTCGTAGAGTCCGTACGAAGGAGCAATAATTTCACGTCGGAGACGCTTATTCCGCGATGCCATGGGGTCATCGTCGACTTCCGGTTCTTCGATTCCTCTAATGGCCTCAGCACGCCCGCGTGCCCATTCTAAGTTTGCCTCGCGAGTGCGTTGCGCCATTACGAACATCCAGTTCTCATCTGACACTCCCTCCCTAGTCAGCATTGCCTTCTTCGCAACATTGAGCGGACCATCGCTGTAAGGGCCAAGACCAGAGCCACCAAATACCGTTGTTGGTCCTCCTGTACGATACAGACCAAGCCCAGAGCGCTCAACTTTGCCCGTCGCCGCGGCGGATGCTTCTGCAGTAGCTGCCTGTTGCTGTTCAAGCAGTTCGGAAGCATAGTCGCCGGCGTTGAGGCCGCGCTCTTTAGCCTCTGCAATGGCTTTGTCTTCGTAGTAGTCGTCGATACCGATACGTCCATCGACAAGCATTTTGGCTCCGTGCAATTTGAAGGCACTCCTTGCGGTGACGAGAGTGACACTCCGTGTTCGCAGGTGGCCACCTAGCTTGCCTATCTCAATGAGATAATCCTTTTCAGCCTGTGTTGCGTTGAGCTTGAGTGCAAATGGGTTGCGTCGGAAATAATATAATGAATCTCGGAAGCCAGATGTACGCGCAGCGTCGATAGCAAGCATGTATTTTCGTTCGGGGTGCCGACCAGGAAGATTGAAGGTCTGCGATTTGAACTGTCGCCCACCGAGCAAATTGCCATTGATATCAATCTTGGTATCACCTTTTGGATCGTCCTCAGTCACGTATGTATCGCCCTCAATAGGAGGTAAAGGTATGCCTTTACGTGTAGTCCGCGGGACTTCGACATCAACTTCCTCAGCAACGGCGGCTTGGCTGCCATTACCATCATCGTCGTCTCCGTCGCTTCCATCAGCACGCTTCGGTAGTCTCAAGGTGATCGTTTCTCCTCGTCCCCGACCTCTGCCTCTTCCCCGACCACTACCTCTCGGACGACCCCGAGGCCGTCCAGTACCAGCGGAAACAGTACCGCGTCCGCTCCCTCGAGGTCTTCCTCTAGGACGACCACGTATTACTGGAGCAGGCGCATCAGATGCAGACTCGTCCACCTCTTTGTCGCCTTCTTCGTCCCTTATTGAGTCCTCTGGCGCGTCGGACTCTGCAGGTACGTCTTCAGCGTCATCGTTTGCAGATTCGCTACTTGCTTGCTCCTCGGCAGCCGCCTCTGAAGGCTCGTCCGGCTCTGGAACAGGTTCCGGCTCCTTTGGCCGTCTTGCTCTGATGATGATTTTTGTGCCGGATTTCTTCATTTTTACGTGAAGGTTGCAGACGACACACGCGTTGGCCAAAGTTTAGACTGACTCAGTGACTGAGTAGACGCGCATACGACGCGTGACATATTGTGACACGAGACACCTCCGCAAAAGGGAAGCACGGTAAATCTGAACTTGAATGCTCGCGGCCGTAAGCATATGATGATCTTTTTCCAAACGACTCTTCAACCGCTATTCTTCCTGTGAGAATAAAATAGAAAACAAGACTCTTTCTCCCCTCGGACCCTCATACGCCTATTCGGAGTTTTGTTCGCTGAGGTGGCAGGCACTTTCTCTGATTTCGGTCCGTTCACCTGGTTGACCGTGTGTAAAATGCGCGAGATGCATGAAAATCTCTCATCGTCGTTGGACCGCTCTCATTTCTTGCTGATAGCTATGTTTATCCTCTGCTTTCCACATGTAGTCCGCTCTACTTGCCCGGTACGAATGGAAATCAAGAAGATAGCTGCCACACGAGTCTCAGAACTATTTGGACAATGCCTCCCTAACTTGACTGAGTTCATGCGAAACTAAGAAGACTATAAAGTGACTATGTCATCGGCCTGGTTGTGTAGGCGTCTACAAGATGCTGCACTACGCACGAGTCTCGTCTCTCTTTCCTGCGCTCACCTTAGCTCTCGCGACCGTGGCATCTGTGGTTCCAACACCAAGGGCCTCAGATCCATGTGCAGCTATTGCTGGGCAGACCTTTGTTCCACCTGCTGATGCACTCGCTTGCTTAAAGACTTTCCCATTCAACGAGACTCTTCGCCAAAACGTCTTGCAGGTCGTCTCGCGTGTCTTTGACTTTTACACTTTCGAGGACTTTTATCTAAATTCTCCACCTCCGTTCCAAGAGTCTACGTCAAATATTAGAGCAGAACTCGCTCGAATAAACAGTACTGACTACGCAGTAAGTCTCACGTAAATCGACTGTGCAACGATCCTCATAATTCCCGCAGACGGACTTCGACTTCAACAAGGACCTCTTCGACTTCACGACTCAATTGAATGATGGCCACACTCGTAAGCAGAAGCACTTCTGTAGCGGCTAGTATATTGACTGACGTCACGTAACAAGGTTGGTTTCCAAGTTGCTATATCACTTTCCAGAACTTGCTTCCCGCCCCGGTAGTAATCCTCGAAGAGGATGGTGAACAGAATGTTTTTGTTGCACCCGACTCGGTCGAGTTTTTCGGATTGCTCGGTTCCGACTTTTCTGATTTCTTCGACTCGATTAACTTTGACTGGCAACGCCTTGCGGGCGCAAAGGTGCTCTCCATTGAGGGAATGGATCCTCTCGACTACATCGACTTTGTAGCGAAAACCGTCTCTGGTAACTTCCTCGACCATGGAGTGCGCGTAAACAGTGTATTAAGCAGCTACCGCATCTCCGGAGACGACTTTTCACAGCGCATCGGCGATCTGGCTGGCCCTCCAATGCCAGTGCAGGAGAACTTAACCTTCAGTCTCATTACTATGAACAGCACCGACGCAGAAACTGTGACGGTCCCATTTTTAGCAGACTTCACAGGCAACTCGTTCACAGATCAGGCTTCTTAGTAGGTCCAATTCTTAATCTCTTGTTTTCTTATTTTAGGCCTCTGATGGCTTTATTTTTGGCGCAGCTGGGAAAATAACTGCGCGGCGAATAGCGCCACCAATGGAGTAGATGCGAAAAGCGGAATTCTCAAGAATGCTGCCCGCCGGAATGGCCGACCTCTAGCAAGGGCCGTTATCAGGGATTCTTCGTCTAGCAATGCGATTGGCCTGCCACCGCAATTCCAGCCGACTCTCCCGCAGGTCAATACTTCTGCAGGAGTTATCAAGTCGTATATTTTGCCTGATAACCAGACTGGCGTGGTAAATAGCGCTTCCTTTTACGTCATGAAGACCATTCCAGTTAAGGACCGAAATATTTTAGATGTTCGTGGGTTCGTTTGAGGGCGACTTCGTGCAGTTCCAGACTGATACAGTCTCCGCGATGAACCACTTCCTCTCTGTGGGTGTCACGCGTCTTCTGATTGACCTTACGAACAACGGTGGTAAATCCGATTTATAATTCTCTTTGTCCTTGTAATCTTCTTCGATCGTCGCGTGCTAACGTTTGCTATTTCTAGGAGGATTCGTGTGCCTTGGACAATTTTTGCACCAGTTCCTTGCTGGCGCGCAGATCGGATATCCGTAAGCTTTTTACCTTTCTGACGATCTGCGCTTCCCTTAGCGATCCCTCCTTGTTCTTTTTAAATTTGGTGCCCTGATGATTGACCTGGTGATTTTTTTATAGAGGGTTCGTGTCGACTAGTCGTGGAAATGAGCTCGCGCAGAAGATTGTAAAGAACGACATTGCGCTTGGTGTTACACAGACATTTTATCCTCCCACCAACTGTCAGTCATGTGAAGTTGTGATAAACATTATTTCTCGTGACTAACTTCGCTTGACCGGACTTACAGGGGCGTTCTTGAATGATACTCCATTTCCTCCGACTATTGATTATAATGATCCCACTGCGCCGTTCACTGTCAACGGAGTCAGCGATCCTACCTCCCAGCGATTCCATGTAAGAAATATCTACGTATTTGATATCGATGCTTAGAGGCTGATTATTCCTCAAGGATATCTGTACGCCATTCAACGTCGACATCCCGGAAACACCACTTATTCCTCTCGAGTATGTAACTTGGGTCTGCTTCTTTTATATAGATTAATAACTGAGCTCACTGTTACAGGAACGTAGCCATCGGTACACCCATTCTCTCGACCCCTTTTATTTTAAGTTTCTGCATTAATCTATTTTGTTGTCTATAGTCAGCAATGGCGACTGCGCGTCCACCTGTGCGATGTTCAGCACACTCATGAACGAGCGGCACGACACCACTATCGCTGTCTTTGGCGGAAAGCCTGGAGAGACCATGGAATTTAAAGGTGCCAATCCAACCAAACGTCGTCAATAGCAGCACAGTACTAATTTGTGAATAGGCATGGCGGGTAATCAAGTCCTTGAGTGGGCTGATATAGATACAGAGATCAAGACAGCCAATTTGAAGGATGTAAGGACATTGAAACGTAGTCGCTTTAAATAAATATATCTAACCTTACATTCCATCTTCGTGATCTAGGACCCCCTTGCCCCTCCTGATCTGTAAGTAAACTTAGTGTCCCAGTGACGTATTCTGACTTCGTCTGGTCGTGAAGCCTTATTGATGGTGACTTCCGGTGAGCTCATACTTTTATAATAGCCTTACTGGACTGCTGATTCGGTATATTGGTAGACACAATTGGAGGACTGGTTCGTCGTGCTTTTGATTGCACTATAGTGGTTTCATCCGCACTCACTGTGCATTGTTTTAGCTTGGAGTTTCCTGGACGAGAATGTACCTATTGGTGAGTCTCGATTAAATTAGGACTGCATGAGGACCATTAATACTTATCAAACCTCCAGCGTACAAGTCTGAGCTTCCGAAACGTGAGTTCTGTTCCTTCAACACTATATTATTCTGCTGACGGAGAAATAGTACGATTCCCGTACACTAAGGATACATTCAATAACCCACAGAACTTGTGGATATTCGCGTGCGTAACTCTCGTTTTCCTACTACACAATAGCGAAATTACTTAATCCCCTTGCTTACCTTGAGCAGCGCTAGCCAGATATTTGGCTAATTGTTCCACCTTCCTCGCGCCCATTCACTCGTCCCGCTACTAGCGACGCACGACAAACTCCCGTCCGCAGTTCATAGTCTCAGTAAGTGATGTGTGTAGCAAGCGCCCTTCGACCTTCAACCCTGGTGCCGAAGATTCGGCAGAGCTTCGTAGTTCTTTTACGTATTTAACTCCGTTTGTTTCATGAGAAAGAAATGAAATTTAAATGCATGACTGTTACTGAGTGTTGAACCAAGGAATCTGATATCCTTCTGTTCCGAGCCGGGCATTCCTCGCAAGCTCCGGTGCAGCCTGACGCGTTCTATAATAATATTCTCAAGCGAACCGGAATAACTCATTGTATTCGCTGCTATTCATACTATCAAGCTGTACGAACAATCTCCGTGGCGCTGGGTAACTCTCACCGATCCATGCGGTCGACTCCTCAGGCACGACCGCATTGAGTTGCAAGAAATTGTAGATCTGGATATACTTAGCCCGGACTCCCACACTCTCTTGATCGAGGCCATACTGTGTGATGGATTGACACACAAATCGGGTTTGACATCAATATTTTATTATTACTTTCGTTGCCCACGTTCGACTTGGCATGAAGTTCCTGGAATAACGTGAGATGGGAATCTGACACATTTCCCGTTCACTCGGAATATGGTTAGCGAGGTTCGCATTTCTGTTGATGCTGGTGTCTCCCGCTACCGTGTTGCATTGACCCTGAGCAGTCGCATCAACGACGGCCGGAACGGCCTGGACAGTCGCCAAAGTCGCGTTTCATCGTGCTGCATATAAAGGAGTCGTGGTCAGGATACTTGAGAGCTTCGGCCTTCGGCTGGTTAGTCTATCAAACGTCAATCACCTAACCATCAACTATCAAGCCAAAGAACCAGGATGTCGAGCTCGCTCCTCAAGTACTTCGCTTTTGCTGGTATAGTGTTGGACTTGGTGACAGTGTCCATTGCTTGTTCTGGTGACGAACACGGCCTTCATGGTCATTTACATGACCGGAGAGCGTTCTCCACGGGTCCAATCGCGCCGCCAACTAGGCCGCTTGTATGGGGAGACGTGAATGTCATCCATACGACGGATACACATGGATGGCTACTGGGACATCAGAAGGCTTCTGCTCCGGAGCCTAATTACAGGTATGGTTTCCATGTTGAACTGGTCCGAACTGATTGGGTTGTTTTGACTGACGGCGATGGTGTTCGCATTGAAGTGGAGACTTCGGCGACTTCGCGTCTTTTGTTACACATATGCAACAAATTGCGCTTGAGAAGGATGTTGACCTTCTTCTGGTTGACACTGGAGACTTGCATGATGGGACGGGACTCTCGGATGGGTTTCCGCCTGGAGATATTGATGGACACGAAGTGAGCGAGACAATTGCAGCCTTGTGAAACAAGTTCTGACAAAGTTCCTTTAGTCGGACCAATTCATCAAGCAGTTACCATACGACGTCCTATCAATAGGAAAGTGAGTAAGCGCCCGTGGTTGTATTGCATGCATCTCATTCAGTGTCCTGCATCAATCTAGCCATGAACTGAGCGACGGTTATGCGGTTGCACTTGACATGTGAGTATCTCGATCCCAAAGGAGTCACCTAGTCTTATACAAATGGCAGGCACACCGATTTTGCGCCATTCTGGAAGGGACGCTACTTGACGTCGAACGTGAATATCACTGTGTTTGACGAGAACCAGAACCCGGTCAGCGTCCCAATTGGAGAGCGCTTCGTTAAGTTTACGACGCGGAAGTAAGTGGTGCTTATAGTCGTTCCTTCATGGAGGAAGATGGCATGCTTATAGCATGACCCTGTTTCCAAATCATGTAGGGGAAGGAAGGTCACGTCCCTCGGAGTCTTGTTCGACTTTACCGGTAATGCCCCAAACACGACGGTCCAAAAGGTGGAAGATATGGTAAATGAGCAATGGGTATGTCACTGCTAGTCGAATAAGTTGGTTTAAACGCGTGACTTTCTTTTGGTGAACAGTTCAAAGATGCTATTGCAGATGAACCTGACTTCTTCCTACTCATCGGGTCGGTGCACATTTTCAAGACTTTGTGACCTGCAAATGCTTCAGATCTAATCGTAACATAGCCATATGCCCGTCTCCCGTGACAACTGTAAGTCACCGAAGACGTGTTTGTACACCTCCTAAGATATTGCAATGCAGGGCCGACCGTCTTCAACGCTGTCCGAGCCGTTCATCCGGCTACGCCAATATTGATCTTCGGTGGCCATACACATATTCGGGATTGCGGTAAGGGTATTTTTGCATACAGGCACTCGAGATTTGTTGTCTCAAAACGACATAGTGCAACTTGATGGACGGTCGATGGCACTCGAAAGTGGACGTTACATGGAGACGATTGGTGAGTTTATGGATTTTCAAGTTGAACGATTTGCTAATGCATCGGACAGGATGGATGAGTAAGTGAGTTTCGGCTCTGTGTGAGACTTCCGCTTATCAAGTATGGTATAGGCGTAGACCTCGACGAATCCAATCGCAATGGCACAAACAACCTAACTTTCACGAGGCGATATCTTGATCAGAATCGTGTTACGTATGAGGTATTCAGGCTCACTAGTACGATAACGAGCGTAACAGTGCTAATTCCTTATCCTTCTCATTCCCTTGAACGAAGTTCCACTCGGGACAAAGTAACCAGACCTTTGATACACAAGCAGGAGAAGCGATCACTGCCGGAATGAACCAGCTTGCCGAGAGATTCGACCTTTCATTCCAGTTTGGCACCGTACCACATGATTTCCTTTTGACGAGGTACGAGGTTCTGTCTAGAATGGGGAAACAATAGTTTTGAACGGTTTGGACAGGGCACCGTTCCCCTCAAATGATTCCTTGCTCTCCTTGTTCATTCAAGAGGTACCCTTTATCTATTCTTGTCACCTTTCAGAGAGTCTCCAGCTGACGCTTTCCGGTCCAGGCAGCTCCCGTTGCATTGGCTATCAACAACTCTCGCACAGGAATCCCGAACGTCATGATAACTAACTCTGGTTCACAGCGTTTCGATGTCTTGCAAGGCCCGTTTACAAAGAACGACCAATTCACAGCTTCTCCATTTGCTGATTCGTTCCTGTTCATCCCGAACGTACCAGCTGGCGTCGCGAATCAAGTCCTCCCGGCATTAAATCAACAGGGTGCGCAGGAGAAACGCGCAATACTCGAAGGCCGTGAAGAGGAATTATATAGGCGAGGGTTCGTCGACGAGCGCTACTTTGCATGGCTGAGGGAGATGGCCGAAAGGGAGGGAGCACTTGAAAAAAGGGCGGCAGGAAACTTGACGTTGGGATATGTTACTTCGGATGTGCGTATAAACATGCTTTCTCGTCTCGGTGCGTACTCATGAAGTGCACGACATATCAGGCGTGCCCAGGAGTTGGAGATGATGTGCCTCACACGCCACTTCCCTTCTTCTCCATTCCGGACTTCATCGGCTCCGTTCCACCAAACGTCACTGACGATACGCCTATTGATCTTGTCTTTGTCGATTTCATCGAGTCGCAGCTTATTGGAATCCTGAACATGGTGTCGAATGCAACGACGTTTACATCGGCGGAGGTACAGCCGTACAGTCCGATCCTTGCGAATCAGGTGTTAGGTGTCTTCGCACAAGCTGCATGGAATTGAGGTGTTGTCTCACGATACTGATGACAGAAAAGACACATACGGTCTTGCACGGTATGCCCGTGGGTGCGTGTTAATGCTGTAGGATATGCATTCCGTAATAGCTTTTGAGCACATGCAATATGAACTCAGAATTTGCAACTCCTATCCTGTCACATTATGTGGAACATCAACGAGGGAAATTGTCCTGGACGCGACACGAGTCAAATGATGATGAAGCAATTATATTGCACTATCATTCTTCGGCATGCTTCGTCCCAGACTCCTGGTCATCATCCTTCTCCGAGGAAGATTGAGGACTTTCATCTTCCGACTTTCTATCATCCATCCCCTCAAGGTGCTCTGTCTTGACCTGTTCAGCTTGAGCTATTTCGGCTTTATTCTGTCGTTTCCGAAGTCTCCTCCTTTTCTTCTTTTCCTCAGTTGGAGGGAGCGGACCTTGAAACGACAGAAAATCACCATCGCCTTGTCCCACATGTTCTTTAAGTAATGAGTTCAGGTTTACACGCGCGTTCTGTACGACAGAGGCACTGTGAACGAGGCGGGCATAGTCAGATGGACGAATGGGTGAAGTAACTGTTGATAAATACATTATTAGCGGAAGGCATGGAATTTCCAGAGGGGATCTAATGCATACCTTGTGAGGGTACATCCTTGTCAGTATTAGGATTTGGAGTTGGACTGGACTTGTAGAGTGCTTCGAGTCTTTTGCCAACGCGTTCCAGCGTTTCGGATGATGCGAGTCCATTCATGCTTGCTGCTACGAGGACACTTTTCCAATTCAATGGAGCCAGTCGACAACGTAAAATAGGATCAACCCGAGGAACAAGAGCAGAACAAGCGGAGAGCACAGCAGAAAGGTGTTCCGCTGTCGATGCGGCAAGAGCTCGACTTCCAATTTCATCAAGTTCATCTTCCTCGAAGTCCACATCTGCTTCTGAATCGGAATGCTCAGGAGAGGTAGAGGCAGTAGAGGCAGTACGCCGCTGCTTAAGGACCTGAGACGCGATGTATTGTACTTCGTCCGCTAGACTCCATTCGGGGAGATATACGTCGCCTGCGAGAAGAGGCCAGCGCGTCCATTTGTCAGTCGCCGAACGTTTTCTCTTCTTCCCCGCGTGACGTACGGTTCTTCGAGTCTTGCCTTTGACTGTGTCTGAATGCTCTCCGACCGAGCTGCTGTTTTCATTTTCACTTATCTGAGCACTCGAGGTATCATCTTTGACTGGTGCGGAACTAGGTGGAAGGCTCGTTGCTCTATGCTGTTGATCCTCTTCATCTTCCAAATCTGATAGATCTAATTCGCTGTCTTCCTCCTGCACCTGACTGGACTGTGGAGGAAGTTGGGAGAGGTGCGCTGAGAGGTCAAGAGTATGCTGAGTCCGTAAAGCGCGTAGAAGCGATGCGTACTCCGTAAGTTCACTGTGTAATGCCGTAGGGACGCGCTTGGATTTCGACATCGCGGCGTAAAACATGAACGCGAGTCGGAATCAGAAATGACCATCGCGACGTCACGTTACCCACATCATGTGAATCGTGCGAAACACCACAGCTGTACAGCACCATGGGGTTTTATGACGATCAGTACCCCACATGCAAACTCCTTCAAGTGATCTCTCTTGACGATTCACGTAAGTTAACTGTGAACTCTTCTCTCAGTGCTAATTACTGACTCATTGACACTGTGTATTGTAGAATGAGAGAAAAATGGAAGAAAAAGCGTTCTAGGAGGCTGAGAAAGAAGAGGAGAAAGATGAGGGCGCGTTCCAGTGCGTATTACACTTCTTCCTCGGCGTTTTCATGGGCAAAGAAGCTAAACGTAGCTCCCTGTGTTATTTTCAGAGTAATCACTTCACACTATTGTGATGGCTTGCAGGCGTTGATGCCTTATAGTCCGTAATGTGCAAATCCTGTCCCGGAAAGAGGTGGAACTGCTACTTGGCAATCTGGTTTCACGTCGTGCACGCCCCCACCGTAATGTGAAAACCGGTCCCGAACCACTCGCTCTTGATCAATTAAAGCATTCATGTATGCGTAGTATTTTGTCCACTGTCTTGCTCCTTGTCATATGCATACATATTAGTCGTGGTTGTTTTGATATGCTAAGTAATCCAAGAGTTCGTGCAAACGTGGTTATGTTAAGAGTACCTCTAAGTTCGGTTGGAATAACGGTGCTAGAATACAGCCGGTTCGTGCAAGCCGTGGAGGTGTTGAGATATATTTAATCCCAGTTGGATGTTGACGTTCAGAAACATCCTGTACCACATTGTCGCCCTTTTCAGTGTCAACGTGTTCATTGGCGCAGTTGGCAATGCTCATATTGTCATAGTCTGAGTAGCAGTGTGAATGAAGCAGGCTCTATTGCAGAGCACCTCAGAACATCTCTGTTTTGGATTGTATTGCCTGTGAGTCATAATCAGGTCATATACACTGTGTAACACAGCTTTAGTAAGACTCACTGGTCTAGCGGTTATGATTTCTGTCTAACACACAGAAGGTTCCTGGTTCGATTCCAGGGTGAGTCACTAGTCTTCTATTGAAAAATATGTTTTTTGTCCTCTACGTTTACAGTTCTGGCCTTTACTAAAGAAGTAGCCGAGGGGTACTAATTCAATTCCCAACAGATTCAATGAATTATCTTTGCTTCTAGCAGGTGCATGCACAATATACATTTGTAGAATATATAATATTAACAATTGATGGCACTTGACACTTTGATAAGGTAACCAATAGGAATAGGTTTAATTCTACAGATGCAGAAATGTGCTAGTGGCTTGTGTGTACATCCAAATAGGTCATTCTCTTGCCAAAGCTATAGTATGTACAGCATAGACTCCTAAAATTGTATTACAATCTAAAGCTATGCATACATGGTAAGGTTGGGAAAATATAAACTCAACCAACTGTGATGCAGCAGTACTAGCCTCTTTTGGGCCATACAATGATGGACAAAATAACTTCCTCAAATAACCTCAAATGAATATTTGGGCAATATAGAATTGTAGAGGACATCTGTAGCTACAAATGTATGTTTTTATTTTTCAAAAATATTAAGTACACATTTTTTTATTTCCTAAGAAAACTTTTTTTGTTAAAATGGTCTAAAATTGCATTTTAATGAGTTTGAGCACTACTTAAAAATTTTCGACCCAGATTTTTGCCGCTTATATAATACCGAAAGTTACGTAATATTAATAATAATAATACATTTGTCAGCATTTTTTAAAGTAATTTTTTCCAAACACTTAGAAAGTTGAACAAACACTATATAACTGTTTAAAAACTAACTTTAGACATTAATAATTGTATCTGAATAAGTTTTGAACTTGCTAGAGCCAATAAAACAAAGTCAATTTTTTCTGACCTAGAAATTTTTGCTGTAGGGTCCTTCCAAAAGGAGTATGTGGCTGTGCCGTGACTGATGTGACAGGTTGGTTGAGTTTATGTTTTCCCAACCTTATGCATGAACGACATTCACATCCCTGTACTATCCAACCTAGCCTTCCTAAGGCAAATTCGTCGCACCATCAAAGATGACGTTGAGCCATGCTGCGAGTCGGAAGCCTTGCTTAGCAATTTGGAGGTTAATCTAGTTGAAGAGAATCGTTATTCCGAGATTTAATTCATCGTGATATTTAAGGGAGAGAGGAGGAGAGGGAGGACGTACGATTGGAATGGCATTATTGAAGTAGGTTCCTGTGCAGAGGTCTTGACCTGTTTGGCTTCCGCTCATTTGAACGAGGGGAGGAACGTCCACGCTCGTGTATTTGGTAACGAACCCGAACTCGCTTGTCCGTTGATTTGGGCTCAGGAGTCAAATGCTTTTGACTGCGTGCGTTTCCACTGCATTTATTTTTCTCATCTTTTCGTGCGATGCGCTAATATTTATTGATGTCGGCAAATAGACGGATGTGTTCGACTTAGGAAGCGATGAAAGAGAGAATGTCGTCTCGGAGGTTGTCTGATGAAGAAAGAAGTCGGCGGGTGATGGTTTGGGTTGTTGAGGAGCAGGAGATCCAGGAGGCTGCTTCGGATTTGAAGTCGCCAGACTAAAGGACAACGATGTACAAATTAAATGAGTTCTGGATAGGAGGAAATGAAGGTTACCTTGATAGACTCGGTGAGTGAAGCTGCCCATGCTGTAACGCTCCCGTCGAAGTTTGCGTCGAGCATCGTCTCGATCATGCCTGTGTCCCACGTCTAATATGGGCGTCAGCATGAATCCCATCAAATTCAGAAGGAAAAGAAAGGACATACTGCGTGTAAATTGGTCTTCTTCCCACCACAGACAGCATCGATATCGTTCCCGCCGACTTCAAGCGCTTCGACGTGAAGAGGTTGACCGATGTCTCCTAGGAACTGCATAACAATATAAGTAGACTGTACATGTCATATATTGCTTAGAAGGGGCGTACGTGGTCGATGAACATGAGTGCTTGCTGACGCTGTGTGAAAGAAAGGGATGTATCTGTCACACGCTGAGTGTAGTTTGCTATTGCCGTCACTGCAGTAAATCAGAGCCCAATTCCAATGTTTAGCTGCAAAGAACTCATGGAACCGGTGGACAAGGAAATACTAACGGATACAGCCCGTATTTCCGCAGTCGCGGTCTTCATTGACAGAGCATTGACCGTTGAGTGGGTCGTCTGTCGGTAGAGTAACCAAGAGCAATACGATGTTAGGCGTGCAATGCAAAAGGAGAGGATAATTCCTCACCTTCGGCGTCAATAAAGTGGAACGGTGCGGTAAACTTGAATGCCGCTTCTGAGCGAACTGTGTCTGCCCACTGTGCAGTACAGAAATTTCAAATTCCGAATGTGAAAGGAGATGTGCTTTGAGAAAGTTGTTTACAGATGTTTGATAAACAACGTACAGGACCGGCCGGACCAAGCGAATGGTTGAACGATGCGTCGATTGTATTTTGGACAAACGAGAGTGCACCAGAGGATAGGAACTTTGGTAAGACAGGACGCGGACAAAAGCCAAAATCAAATCAATAACGAAGTTACGAAGGACGAAGAGAGCAGACGTACATCCATAGCAACGAACCCCACCGCTTCATGTCCCATGGCGCCCCACGCGTAGGCACCGAGAGGGACCGACGCGGAGAGACCAAGCCCGAGTGCGACTTTGGAGAGGGAAAGCATTGGTGCTGCCGAGGAGCGAGGATGCGCAGAAAGACGCTGGAGCGGATTTATGAAGGAGTATCTTCAGGCTTTTATCTGTGCCCCATGGTACGCATGAGAATAAGCAGCGGGCGAGGCAAGTGTCCATGCGGTGTCATGTTAATTTGATCATCGAAAAGGCTATTTTGAGATACGGCACGCATGCACGTTCATCTGTCTCATATGTTTCCGGCCAGGTACTAGATTTGCGCCGAGGATTGGCGAAGCGACCTCGAGAGAGAAGCGTGGGCAGCATGTGCGCTGCCAGTGTGCCGATGCAGAAGTCACTCTTTGCTGCTACTACAGTGATACTGATACTGTAGCACGTTGCTATCTCGGGTATGTTTGGTAGAGATGGCGGAGTAATCATACGTCGATCACATGTCGATCATATGCTCAACTTGGGTCGGCAAGGTATGAGCCGCGAAACAGCGAGGTAAACGAGAAATGCGCCTAGAGGGACCCACAGTTGGTCGGAGTACGACAATCAATGACACACGATGAAGATATGAAAAGAACAACGAAGGTTGATAGAGTGATGATACGCAGGGCTTCTCTATCATCTCCGCGACGACACTGGACGCATGATCTGATTTCAAACGTCCAAGACGCCCGAGCTTGTAATTGTGAGGCATTTTTGGGTACACGTGAATAAATGGCGAATACTGCGCGAATGGCAACGGCGAATATCAGAAGTGCCCGTGGACGGAGCGTGGGACTGGAGTCTCTTCCATGCCCAGCCAAGTCCGACAGCGGAGAGAAAACTTGACACGAAAATTGACAGTCATTTCCCCCTTAGTCTTCGTGCGATTTAATGAGAGGGAAGAAGGGAGCCGCCGGATCGAGCAATGCGGAATCAAAAAAGGCCTTGGAAAGTACTTATGATGGAGTGATCGGAGGAGAGATATGACAGAGTGCAAAAGGGGCAAGACGGAGATGGCGGAGGAGCTGTGAAAATCAAAGAGGAGGATCGGAGGAAGGGTCGCGGACAAAGCAAACGATGTAAGGACTAGATTGCTGCAGAGAAGAGCCGGTGGAGTGCGGATGAAACGGCGCCCACTACTAGTACTAAACAGAAAACAAGAAGATGCCCGTTTATGGAACTTTGGAAGCTTTCACGCGCCCGTTATGGCAATGCAGCAGAGTGACCCGGGTGCAGTTCGATCCGACTACTGAGCAACCGTCGTCTCACACGCATTCCATTCTCCCCTCCTCTTTCCTCGCTCTCCTCTTTTTCTTCTTCTATCCGCGCACATACCCACCGCTATTCCTGCCACCGCTAATCACGTCGACAACGACGACTGCCACGAAACTTATTTGCCCTCGGCAGTTCTTTCTCTGCCGACGCCGACAATACTAGCCAGTTGCGTCGCGGTTCTGTATGGCCGACGGCGGCGCACCCAGCAACTCCCCGCCCCCGCTCAATGCCAGTTTAATCGTCGGCCCGCTCCTTGTCGCTAATTCTCTAAACTGGGCATTATGGGGAATCTTATCCGTCCAGCTCGCTTTTTTTGTCCGCGACATCCGACGACGACGAAAAGCCACTGGGCTGCCCGACGCAGAACGAGGCGTGTCTGAGGCGCATGCAGACAAACGCTTTGGGTTCCGGAGGAAGAATGCCAATACGAGCAAGAGTGCGTTTGCGGATGACGATGTCAATCCGTGGAGGAAGACGTTCGTTGCTCCACTCGCGGTGCCCTCAATCAGCGCATATCCATCCCAGCACTCTCGACAACGAAGTAGTCGGAGCGTTCCCTCGTCCTTTGACCCCTACTCCCCCACCGCCGTCCATCCTTCCCCCGTCGATGCCGACTCTAGTTCCATTCGTTTTCCGTCTTCAAATTCCTTTGATCCTCCCTCCATATACCTGAGCCTGGCGCTGTATTCACTCTATGTGTTCATATGTGCACACACTGCGCTGGAGACGGCGCAGTTCTGGCGAGTTGCTGTTGAGGCGTGGGGAACTGGCCCTTCCGATTTGGGCCCTCGATGGCTGGGACTCGTACTTGCAGATTGCATCGGTCCCATTAGTGAGTTTTTTTCAGGTTTAATTTCCGATTTATTGTGCGGCGCTGACACAGCTGCCTTTCTTTCCAGTATTCGCAATCGCTGTCGCATACTTCATTTACGTCTTGTATTTTTCACCCTCCAACACTCGGATGCGCTCAACCGGTCCAGCGCTCCGGCCGCTCTCGCTAAAGAGCAAAGCCAATGTCCTTCCCGAACCTTATTCGTTTCCTTACCCTCAATCGCCTTCATCCTCCCTCCCATCACCCCGGCACCGTTTTTGGCGACCGGCCCTCTTAGAACCGGCACTGCTTGCCATAGTAGCTCTTGTAGTGACTGTGTGTGGATTTGTGGATTGTGCAAGGGTGAGTCATGCCAGTTGCTTTCGGTTCCTGTGTGCTAAATATAGATAGTTGTTCAAGGAGTCACCACCGCCAGGGGCACCGGTCCAGCTGGATGCTGTTTTACTCATTTGGTTCGCTGGACAACTTGCGATTGATTTGTTGCTTTGTGTGCTGCTGTGTCGCTCGGTTCGTCACTCTGACCTTTCCACGTGATTCTTGTATTAATTATGATATGATATACTTTGTTGCAGCTTGGCTCTAGACTGACTAGCGGCTCATGGATAGCCCGAGTCGTGCGTTTTATGGGTGAAGCGGGCGGTACGCAACTCGTCGTTGTGTTCCTGGCACTTGTCTTGATTGTTTCGTGGAGAGGCGGGGTGAGTCTATTTTTGCATTTAATCATTAATTTTTCTTGATTAACGGAACAACTTTGTTCCGACGTAGAAACCGCCCTCGACGCTTACGATGGTGGCGCCTGCACTGCTCCCTGTGATTTATGCGAATACAGTGCTCTTACATACCGCGTCTACGTATCTTCGTCCCACGCTTGAGATGTCGTCACCACGGACGCCATCAAAGACCGTTCGGAGCAAGTTTGAGGATATTGAGATGGGTTTGCGTGGGTCTAGTAATCGTTCGCCGGCACATGTCGATCTTGCCGGCGCAGCTGCCGCTGCAGAGAGCGCGTATTCAACAACTGTGGATTCGACTGATGGCGGCGCGACGCTGCGGGCGAAGGCAATGGCGTATGGTCGTGAGAAGGAGGCAGCAGCAGCATCGGGTTCTGCTGCTCCTGCACACGTGCATCTGGAACGCGATACGATCGGTGAAAGCTCGACTAGTAACCTTTTGAACAATGCTGCTGGCGGGACTGCGAGTGCGAGTGCAAACGCAAGTGAGACCGCTAAGATGAGGGCACCATCAGTACGTAGTGGTGTGAGTACAGCATTGTCCCTGGAGTTGCCAACTTTCAGACGCGGTCGTGCACGTTGGACATCCGGCTACCCTGTGGATGTTGAGAGTGGGAGCGAGGGGAGTGATGAGTGGGACGAGGAGATCGAGTTTGATAGTGAGGAAGACGGAGGCGGAACGTGGGATTATGGGTTTGCGAACACGGAGAGGGAGAAGGAACGTGCGGCTGCAGCTACGATGCTTGCAGGTGCAAATAGTCTCAGCCCGAACGATACAGGGACAAGGATAGGTGTGCAATGTGGTGGTAGGAATCCATGGCAGAACTTTACACGTCAGCCTGGTAAAAGAAATTCGTACCCTGCCGGAGGATCTTCTCGACCATCTAGTTGGCGACGGACTGTGCATCCACTTGCGACATCTACGAATGCAGGGGACGGAGATGCAGAGGCAGATGAGAATGACGATACATTGTCGATGCTGTCATCAACATCAGCGGGAAGACGAAGAAGATATTCGCACCATCGTCCACCGAAACGTCCCCAAGGACCGTCGTTTAGCAAGCCGAAACCACTGCACCGACTTTTACCACGGGCGCCTCTACCTCCTCCCTTACCAAGTACGAGTTCCGCGAACGCCTCGACTGATTCGGTCTACCTCACCGGTGGTGGAGGCGGAGGATTAGGTTCACCCGCAGGTTCTGTGTTGGTCATTGGACGAGGGAATTTGATGCGCGAACCGAGCATTGCAGAACAGAGTATAAATGCTGCTGCGAGTGTTGCGGCGACCCGCGCGAGCACAGGGAGTATGTGGAGCACGTTTAGCTATACGTATCCCCGGCCGTTTACCCTCCCGGACTTAGACGTGGACTTACAAGGAGGGCTGGGGATATCTACTGAAGGAAGCGGCGATGGAGTTGTTGGGGGAAGTACAGGTGTAAATGGGAGAGGATCAGGTGAAGGGACAAGGACCGGGGAGTCCGATTTGGGTGCAGCACTTGCATTGAGTTCATTAAGCGGCTCCGGTTCGGGAGTGGGAGACTCAAATGCACCACATCCGTATTCTGCCGCCGCTGCAGGTGTTGGAGGGAGCAGTGCTGGGGTGGACACGCAGGAGGGTACAGCGAGAAGAAGGTGGAACGTCCATCCGTTGAAGAGAATTGCAGATATGGGGAGGTTGAGATCTTGATTTTCCTTGAGTCCCTTGATTCGGGAGTGTTTTGGACTCTTCTTTTTGGTTCTGAGTCGAATTGATGGAGATGGAGGCCTAGCGCTTGCATGCATTTCTTCACTCTCGTTTGAATCTTGCCTTGATCGTTTAACCAAATTTTTTAAGCATTTTTCATCTTATTTCCTTGCTTGTTCTCCAACTAACAACTCACATTGTACACATGCATGCACGCCCACCTTTACTTTCTCGCCTGTCCTTTTACTGTCCTTTGTTTTTGTCACCATGTTCTGTCTCAACTGGAGCCCTCTAACCGGTTATTCTTCCTTTCGTCTTCATCCTCCGCAAGTTCGGAACGCAATTCGGCATTCGACCAACGTTTTACATTTTTCTCTTCTCCTAGGTTTTTTTGCCCCCGTAAGTCTTCGCGTATATATACCTTCGTGCAGCCTCTTCCTTTTTGCATTTTCTTCCGGTGAGGCTGCATTCTTAATCTCTTGCTTTCCAACTGATCAATCATTACTTACCATACGTTTCACAATTCCTCACGCTCACGCACCCCCCAATTAACGAAAAATCCGTACTACTACAGCAATGCTTGATTTTGATTTTCCTTTTCTCGCTTTCTTATGATTGGTGTAGTACTGGATGTGTAGCTTTATCTCCCCTGTGTTGTCTGTTTTTTAAACAGATATTTCTTTGTTTTTCTTTTCTATGTTGTTTTTGAGTTTATTCCTTGTTTTTTGATAGCGTACAATTCTGATACTCGGTTATCTTCAGTTTATTCTCCGTCTGTGTTTTTCTTCTTTGTGCTACAGTAGGAGGGAACGTGTAATTAATACTGGAATCAATAACGCCTTTGGCATTTGCAAAGAAAAGTTCCTAAATAATGCTTTCTTCATCTAACGGTATCGAAGGGTGAACCTTCTGGTCTTGGTCTCGCGGAAGAACGGCCTCGAGCATCTCCAGAAGGCGGGCTTTCACCACCTCTGCGGTCAATTCTTCCTTCTCTCTCTGCTTTGTGAAAGCGCGGATTGTGAGCCATAAGTCTTCGTTGTTTTGGGCTTCTGGGCTTGCGGACCAGTTTGGTGAAGGTGTGGATTTGAGGTGGCTGAAGTCTTGGATGGTTTGGTGTTTACTCTCCTATATTCGTCGAAAGTATCAAATCCAATTAGTTTTGGTAAGCCGATCGGGGCTGGAATAAAGGAAGGTGGGAACGAAGTTGGAGAGAGACTTACATGCGCTCGAACGTCGGGTGGGAGAGGTAGAGTAGAAGGGTACGGGGAGAATACGAGGGAGGAACAGTCTTCGATTATGCCGTTTGAAGTGACGTGTAGGTAGATGTGGGAAGTGTGGGAAGTATGTGTACGAAGCTACGAAGCATGATCATCAGCAAAAAAAAAAAGAGATAGAAGTAGTGAATGAAACAGGGGAAGAAGGATCGAACCTGATGGCAAGCAGCGACAAGGATGCACCGTTCAAGGTTGTGAACGAGGATAGAGCCTTGGATGTGTCCTAGGATGAGGATGCTGTTCTTGATGTCGCGAATGTGGACTGCTGTGAGGTTGAGATTCGAATCGTTTCCTTTCTCTAAAAGGTTTTGGGCATTAGGATTTCCTGTCTTGTCTGCATTCCCTTTACTCTCTGGATCGTGTACAACATTAGAAGAAGAAGGATCTGGCGCCGGAGGGAGTAGGTCGACGATGCAGTGATCAAGTGACGAGATTGTAAGGTCGCTGCTCCTCGATGATGGGAACTGGCGCAAGAGGGAAGCTGCGGAGAAGGTTTGGAAGGACGCGGAGCTGATTTGGAGGTTTGAATTTGATGTCGGAGGAGTCACCATCGCGGGTGGCTGAGTCGATTGCGTACTTGTACTTCCGGGAGACGGACGTGGAGGAGGAGCGACATTTGTACTCGATGATTTCTTGAACGCGAACTTGCGCTGAGAGGTTGTAGATTTACTCCTTAACGCGGAGATACGTGTTTCGAGTTCTTGTATTTGCTATCTATCGCAGTTCTATCGTTAGTCCGATTAAGCTTAAAGCTCAACATACGAAATGCATGATAGCGACGTGGTTCATGATGTCGAGAGTAAAGAAAGAGAGGTACGCACGGACTCATAAGAACGCCGATCGTACGATGGGAGGAACCCGGTTGCCTCGTTGAGCTTCTTGCGCTCGGCTTGGGTGGATTGAGCGATTTGGGCTATGAGTTCCTGAGAAAATTGGGTCTGGGCCTCCACTTCGTCCAGACGAGAGATGATTGCTGAAAGATATTACCGCATACAGTGCAAAGGAGGACGATTACATATCAGTTATAGCTTATTAGAGGCTAGGAGATGGACGGACCCGAGCATGAAGTTTGGAAGCCTGTATAGAATTCTTGAGAGGTTGACATCTCAATAGTGTTGTTAGGATGTTCACTCCGTAATTTATTTCAAAGGGGTATGAATTTGTTTTTATGCTGGTCTGAAATGTGGTCACGGAAGATGAATGACTTGTGCATACGGCCATAGTATGAGATGTAGGCAATACCTTTCTTCCGTCTATAAGACGACGTTCTCTTCTAAGGCGTACGGATATTTAGCTTCTCAAGATACTTGCTTCCTTAGTTAACGATGCCGCCCTAGTGAAGGTTATATAACTTATAAGGTTCAAGTGACAAGCGTGCGAGAGTCATAATAAATGACGGGGTTACGTAAAGAACACGATCACGTGCATGTTCTGTTTGGGCTGTTGCATTTGTTCTGCGCATGCTGGTTCCTCGTCTCGTCTTTAACGTGCTGGGCGCCGTCAAGAACGTCCCAAGCGTATTCTGCAACAAGATCGTCAAGAACAGTGGAACTCATAGTATATAAGCAACTCCCATGGTTTTTACTGATACATGTCTTTGACTACTGACTCTGAACGGAGCGACCACGAGCCTGCGCCCGCTGGTCTCCGCTCCCCACTATACGGTACTGCTACTTTTACATCACTATCACCTTCAACTACTCCGGCGCCTCTATCTGACTCGGGTGGATCTTCGGCTAGGCTTTCATATCCGTCTCGTTCAGGTATACCATTGCTAACGACTGCATTGCTTGCTCTCAACTCACCTTTAACATTTTTCAGTGACGCCAAGCACTGCTGACGATGGCACACGGTTTCGTCGTGTAGCTCTTTCACCTTCTGTATCATCGTACGATTCCAGGAGGCATACGGATTCTGATTCATATTTGGACGACAATGATAACTCCATCATTGACACTGCTGAGGTTGAAGAGGTCCTTAGTCGAGTCGACGACGACGTTTCTCAAGTCTCAGGGGGCGACAACTGGGGCTCTGCATATTCGAGCTCTGGTGTGAGTGCGACTTCAAGAAGTGGAACTGGGTCATATGCAACTGCGACCACTGAGCCTCTCAACTTTGAGCGGGAACGTCGTTCCTTAAGTACAATCTCCGAACGCACAGAGTCCCAGTCTATTAACTCTGGGGTTGGAGCAGGAACGGGCATTTTCCAGAATCTCTTCTCTTCAACCTTCTCTCGACCGTCATCTATTTTTTCGGCTGCGGCGCGTAGCTTGTATGGTGCCCCTACATCTCCACTTGCACCGCCTCCGAGTACATCCGCCATGGCACGGCCGGCGACGCCCGAACGGACTTTCAAGCCTGCGCCTCCAACTGGGAGGCGCGTTGGAAACTTAGTCGCTAGCTTCGAGTCCGATCTCAGTCACACAAGATCCGGTTCTGTTCCTGTTGGACCGCGTTCACCAGCACCTTACAACACTTCTTCCCGACCCAGTTCTCCAGCAAAATCGTCGCATACGCGTGCATACACCGATGGCTCGTATACGCATTCACGTTCCTACACGGACGGCGGAATTTCTTCGAGTGGTCATTCTCATTCCGCGTCGTTTTCATCGTACCTGTCGCCAACACCTGTAACTACCGCGCTTAGTCAAACAACGCCATCGGGCTCGTCTGAAACTGAGCGACCGCGTTCGCCATTGAGTTCTGTGCGGAATATCGTGACTGCATGGAAAGAACGATCTCCAGAGAAGGCGTCAACATCTGCATCACATTCGACAGCTTCGCAGTCCGTCGTCAGCGGACCGAGTTACACCAGCAGCAGTATGAGCTCGCTGGGCTTAGGACTCAGCGGGGGCATATTTAGCTTGCGCCGCCGAGCGGCATTATCTGCGACGAGCGGTGGATATCGTTCCGGAGGAGATTCGGCGATGGGACATACTGATGACTTTGGCTCTGTTAGGGGTAGCGTTACAGACACTCGCAGTCTTGCACGCTCAGGAAGCGTGCGTAGCCTAGGAGGATCTTCGATTCTGGATAGCTCAGAGCTTGATAGTTTCATTCGCGGAAGTCAAGATGTTCGTTGATGATTCCGTACATGTTTTGATCACATGACTCACGCGTCTGTCTTTTCTAGCCGTTACGGGTCGGTCAACTATGGTACCTAAATGTTCATGCGCCACCTCCGTTCAAATGGCAGCGCTGTCGAGCAATTTTGTATCCAAATGCTCTTTTACTGACGTGGATCGCTCCAGGAGGGGGACGTGGTGTAGTCACGTTGGATCTAGTAAATTGCAACGAAGTTCGCAGCGTTCCAAGCCCGAGCCATATCAGTGCACGAGATGACATTGGTACAATTGCAGCACGGCTTCAAATGGATGAGGGAGGTAATGATGTCGGAGACTATGATTTAGTCGAGATGCTCTGTCCTTTCCAGCTCCTGTACAATGATGGTGTCGAACGCCTTGGTGCGGAAAGTGCAAGGGAACGTGTCCGCTGGGTTAGCGCTATCTGGTAACTTCTCACTGGCTTGTTTGCACTCATGACAGTATTGATACTCTTTTCAGGGAGGCGTTGGATAGAGCTGCATCTCCTCCAGATCGATCAATGACAAGGTCTCCTACGGGTTCCATTCGAACGATCCGTTCCGTTACAAGTTCTGTTGTCAGCTCGGGATCAGGGTCTGGCTCTGCAAGCACGACATATCTACCTCCGTTAGACAGCATTCCCGACCTTCCGGACTTTGATACTAGCACCTTCACGCGCTCTCAGTCCCCGCGCAATTCACTTTCAGCTAGCTCACTATCGTCTTACGCCCTTACACGCACGCGGTCCTCTGATGATGGTGCAATCACGAGTGGTGGTGGTCTACTTCATCCGCTTGGAGCGAGGTCAATTGAGATTGCACCAAGCAGGAGCTCATCACTTCGCCGTACTTCATCCTTAGCCGACCTTGATGCCGAATTCGCGAATGTACTTAGGGGAAGCGGGATCACGCTGGAATCCGGCTCAGATACTATGACGCTCACGCGTGGCGGGTCCTCCCGCTTCCGTGCGCGCTGGATGCGTGAACCGAGCGAGCATGGCGCGTCGTCGACCATTAGTCCATCAGAATCTGCAAGTGTTGCGGGAAGAACTCGCCGAGTTCGAGCCTCAACGTTTTACACGCTCTCAGAACCGACGTTCACACATAGCTCTGTGGACTCTTCGACTTCAGATGGAACTCAGATCATCCCTTCCTCGTTGTCTCTGCGTGGCCCGGGTTCTGCATCTCTTCTAGGTGATTCACATTCCGGTCCGACTACAAGCGAGGAAAGCGGTCGCGTACGCTCGCCTTCGACACCGACAGGAGCGCGTTCTCCAGATACACTCTACACAGCGAGTACAGGCCTCTCACGACAAAGCGCTGTACGACGACGGACCCCTCGTTCTGCGCGCACTTATTCGAGGTCTGCAAGTACACGTAGTGGACCCTCGGTGGCCAGTACATCCGACAAAGAGAACGAGTATGATGAGCCAAGTCAGTTTACCAGTTTACAGGAGAGTTACACGACGACAAGCATCTCTGAACACATTCGGGAGAGATCGGTGTTATCCGACTCTGCTGCCATGACTAGTCCCCCAAGGTCTGTGACAGGAGACTCGATGGAGAGAAGAGTGATGAGGCCGAGAATGCCCATACAAGGGCCAGAAACTGGGAGTGAGAGCGATGTCTTCCTAACGCCAAAGGCACCACGAAGCGAGTCATCTTACCATTCATTACCTGGCACGCCAACTCCGTCTAGCAAGAGTATTCCGTCCACGGAATACGAAACAGCAATTAAAGCTCCGTCAACGGAGTACGAGACGGCAGAAATCTGTTCGTCGGAGCCTCCATCTACAGAGTACACGACTGCGGAAGTGTGCCCGTCGACACCCCCCGCGACAGAGACGGAGTACTTTACAGCACAGTGTCATTGCAAACCTGCTGTGCCTAAGGAGATCAGCTCGCTGACTCCGTCATTGAGTTTGACGAGCGTGTCAGAGGAGGTTGTCGAGGCGAGCATCCCTCTTCCAGAATCCGAAACCGAAGAATCGCCTCCTCATTCACTGGCTGAACTCGAGAGGACTCCTTCAGTCGCACTTGAGGAGCCGACGTCACTCTATGAATCGTCGGACTTGTCTCCGTCGCCGATTCGTACGCCAACTATTGTCCCGCCAACTCCTTCAAGTGTTACAGAGACGTCGGCTCAGACCACCAGTTCTTTGACACCATCAAGTATATCTAGTAGGCCTCCTCCTTCGTCCCCGTCCTCCCCATCAATCGCCACGGTTCCCTTAACGCCATCGTCGCCATCTTCACCAACCTCTATGGAATATAAGTCAGAATCGTCAAGAACACCAAAGTCAAGGTCTCTGTACGTGCCATCACAGAGCAGCGAGAGAACATCGCCGAGTGTCACGGATGGGTATGAAACGTCAATCTTCGCGCCCTCTCCCTCTCTTCAGTCTGTCCCGATGCAAGAGCCCGCAGACGTTAGTTTTGAAACGTCCTTCATGCGCCCAGGAGCGAGCGAGATGTTGTCTGAACAGCCTAGTCCATTCCTGTTTAAGGACCTGGGAGTTCCTGCTCTCAGCTCGACTGCGACACCGACTTCGACTAGTGCGAATACGACGAGCAGAATCACTCAAACGCCGACAGTAACACGTACATGGCGCACACCTGATCCACCAACGCCGAGCTCCGTGTCGTCGGCGGGTAGCTTGACTGCTTCGTCTGACCTGATTAGTACTCTGACCCCAAGTACGGCCCTACTTGCCGTACCGCCTGCACGAAGTTCTGAAAGAACACCGGCGCTGAGCAGCCTCACACCAAGTAGTTCCATTCGGGGTTCTGATGTTGCGAGCAGCGTGCCGTACACGTCTCCGAGCAGTCTGACGCCGAGCAGTCTGTTTGAAGAGGACAGTATATTAGGTCGTACGGTCACTGTGACGAGGACTCCATCAAGCGTGAGCAGTATTTCAACGGCTTCCATGAGAAGCTCTATTTTTGCGCCGAGCGTCTACGAGTCACCAGCTACTGTTCCAACGCTACTTTCATCGAGAGCGTCGACGCCACGTCCCGTATGTTTTATATTCTAAAAGAGGGCTACAATTTAGTTGGCTAACATCAAATAAACAGATGACTCCTCGAGATGTGCCGTTGCCTAGTTCTCCATCTCTGTCTATTGCTACAGCAACACCGTCCTCACCACGCACTGATGCACGGTCTCTGCGCACGATGAGCTCCGTTGAAACAGCGTCTGTATTGGAGACACCAAGGGAGGAAATTCTTACA